TCAGAAATATAACTAGTTGTCAAAAATTTAAAGTAACTTCAAAACAGCATTTGATAAATACACAGTTTAGTGAATCTGAATGTGATACAGGGTGTCCGCAAAGTTGGGGTTTTCCTTTACACGACGTGTAGATCTTGAAAACATAAGCAATTTTGCTTAGTACCATATACACAAATGTCTTAAGGGAACCGAGATAAAGGGCTCTGCAACATCAAAAATATCTGAATACCGTCCTGTAGCCGCGACCCGGGACATCACCCAGTGGTACAAGGTCTCAACCCGACGGCAGAACTGGGTCGGGGTCAGTGTGTCAGGTTAGTAAGCGACCTTCAACCGACGGTCACGGTCACGCGTGTAGAGGTAAACGAACTCGTATAATCGATTGCGTTTCAAAAAACAAGAAGCACTAGAGACGTGGCTAGAGAAGTGCAAGTATCAAAAACTAAATTGTGGCAAACGCTGCGTGAAGAGGGGCTGTATCCGTTTCACGTCCAACGTGTACAAGCCCTTCAACCTGACGATTTTCCAGCAAGAGTGCGGTTTTGTGAGTGGTTGTTGCATCAACATGACAATAATCCGGACTTTTTGAAGTGCATATTGGTGACAGACGAATCTACGTTCACGCGTAATGGGGTGAATAACTTTCGCAACACTCATGTTTGGTCAGTAGAAAATCCGCACGCTGTCCGTCGGGCACATTTTCAACAAACATTTTCGGTGAATGTTTGGGCTGGCATGGTGAACGGCTCATTGGACCATTTATTCTCCCAAATCGATTGGACGGGATGCAATACCTAGACTTTTCACGCAACATTTTGCCTTCCTTGTTAGAAGATGTGCCATTAAGTGTAAGACAATCAATGTGGTTTCTGCGTCTGCTCGGTAGCGCTTCAGCTGATTTCATTTTCTGTTGGAGCGGTATGATTTCGGGCAGAGACGTACTTAGCCCTTCTCGTCAACTGGAGAGTGAGTACTTTTTCCTTTATTTTTTTTTACTTGGTCGCCCTCGTTTCACTACACATTACCTTATTTCAAGGGTAGTTGTTTTCTGAAAAGGAAAACCCCAACTTTGCGGACACCCTGTATAGGTAAAAAATTGAACATTTTGTTATTTGTAAAGCTTAATATTAATTTAGTCTTAGAGTGAGTTTAGATAGATTGGGTAGAGTATCCACAAGGCTATACTCTGCCTGTTGTTTCTTTGTATTTCGATCTAATAAAGACATATTATTTCAGATAATGTCAAGTTCTGGTTCCTTTTGGCAGATGAACATAGTATGGCGGCCTATTCCTGTGACAACAAGACTGAAAATGGTAATATAAATAAAAACACTGCTTTTACATTTTGATCAATATAAGAATATTTATCGATATGAAAAAGCTAAAACAATACTTTTGAATATTACTTTTTTCTTTCAGCTAACGTATTCATCATGTCACGTGAACAAAACAGGCACCACGCACATCTTCAGCACATTGAGTACAAGGTTAGGAAATTGGTTCACCTTCCTCACCACAAGCATATAGTACACCAAACACATTGCTAAAAATTGTATCAAATCTAAACCATTTTTGTAATAAGTAGAGCTGAGTTTTTCCGTACCTTGTTAGATACAATAAATATCCAGATATACGATTAAAGCTCAACTTTTTTAATTTCTGAACATAAAATTTGTACTACATACCAGTTTCAAAGAGTTATAAAATAGACATGTAGGATTCTAGAAATGAAAAATATTTTTAATTTTGGCGTCAACAATCAATCAGTTAAAATTTATCCATCTTACATACTAAACATTACAGAGTTATTTTATTTCTCTCTCCAAGACTAGACTCAATTCTTATACTGGACTGATGAGTTGCCGATGAGCACGAAACAACGCTGTCTGCGGTTGGCCATGGTTATAGACACGGAGAGCAAACATGTCCGTTTCAGCCGAGTCCATGCATTAAAAAGTTTACTATATATCAAACACTATTTGAATGCCACATGACCTATGGAATTATTATCTATGGATCCACGAATAACAACCATGTAAATCCGTCACAAATAATAAAAAATATTGATTAAAACAATGCATAAGAGACCTTTACATATCTCTCAAAATCGCTGTTTATAGGATCAAAACTTTTGAATAAAAAAATTATTTTGATATTTTGCTTAATTAGAATTCCATAAAAACGAAGATTCGACCGTGTATAAAATTATGATAATAATACTGGTACTAGAGATAAAAATAAACAAATAATAATTGCAACACCAATAAAGGAAATCATGGTGAAATCATTTATAGACTTAGGTACAAAATTGTATCATAACTTATTAACATGTATTAGAAAAAATCATTATTAAAAATGGTTTTATACAAGTGGCTATTGAATACGAATATAAGCATCATGTAATTTCGAAAACTCTAACATATAAATATCTTTTTCGCATTACTAATATAAATATTATACAATATTTTACTTAGTAGTTTTTGGTAAAAAAGTTGTCCTCTTTGACAAATCTTTTGACGTGTTTTGTCGTTTTTCCTTTTAATCAGTGGTTTTCGATAAAATCGTGGTGGGAAGTTTTCGAATGCACACCTTGTATATGATATAAGTGTTAGAATGATATCCATCCATAAGAATATTTTCCTTTTGTGGCATATCAGTTGATTCACATTGATGTGAATAAATATTATTATCATTATACAGGGTGGCGCATCGAAAATGAAACAGACGTATTTACTGGCAGCTCAGTTTTTTTTTTTGGAAAAACGCTCAGACCAGTCGATTTTGTTTTCGAGGGGGACACAAGTTCGGCAAAAAATACGTTAACACGTGCAGCCCTCTGGGCGGGGGTGACACCAACCCTAAAATCTTAAATGGAAAGGGGGTCGAGTGATACCTTATTTTAAAGGCCTTTCAATACCCTTTATAATGATGTAAAATACATGAGCTTCGGTTCAATAGTTTTCAAGATTTATTGATTTAAAGCTTAAAGTAGACTTTAGTAGGTACATCAGATTAGTTTGTACTACTTTCAGAAGAAATTTGACTAAAAGAATTTACTTAATAAGTAAATGCTTTTCTTCACTACGCCCGTGGTTTGTTTATCATTTTGTTGTTGAAAATAGCTATGGGAGCGCTTTTTGTGGCAAAAAAGTTATTTATTGAAGAAAGATATGGAAATATCTCGTACTTATTTTAAATAGGAATTTAGTACATAGTTTGCGATTGATTTGACCAAACTTTGTTGCTAAAATACCTTGTAACGCTTTATTACATAAATTAACCATGGTATATTCCACATCAGAAAGAGTTGAAATTATCGAAATATTTTTCGGAAACAATCAGTGCGCTAATAGAACACTAGAAATATTTAATGAGCGACATGAGAACAGTAACGTGCATCGAAAATATGTTCTAGAACTTACAAGTTCTAGAACATATTAGCTACAGCTAAATTTCGGGAAACTGGGTCAGTCGCCAAAAAACGCAACATTGAAAATCCCATAAGGAACGAAGCAATAGAATTGGAGGTTCTAGGGCAAGTTTATGTAGATCCTACGATAAGTACCCGCAAATTGAAGACTGTGTGTGGTGTTAGTCAAAGTACTGTCCAACGGATTCTAAAGGCCCATATTTTTCATCCGTATGAAATTCACCTGGTACAAGAACTTAATGGAGACGATTTTTATCGGCGATTACAATTTTGTGAAGATATGAGTGAACGAATTATACACGATGAACATTTTCTATTCAACACTTGCTTTTCCGACGAATGTTCCTTTTTCTTAAATGGCGTAGTAAATCGTGATAACTGCCGATATTGGTCCGATTCTAATCCCAGAATTTATCATGAGGTTCATACACAGCAGCCACAAAAATTAAATGTTTGGGCTGGTATTTTTGGCGATCATTTAGTAGGTTATTTTTTCTTACCTGGAAATTTGACCGGTGAAATGTATTTGGAATTACTGAAAGACGCCATAGATACTGCATTAACAGCCATAATTGAAAATCAGAATGATCGGCGGTAAATTGCGAATAGGTTGATGTTCCAACAGGATGGTGCCCCACCTCATTACGCATTACGTGTTCGACAATATTTAGATCAGACGTTTCCAGATCGATGGATTGGTAGAAGAGGTGCCATTGAATGGCCCCCAAGATCGCCAGATTTATCACCTTTGGATTTCTTTATGTGGGGTCATTTAAAAAGCAAAATGTATGCTACTCAGCCAACCTCATTAGAAGACCTGCGACAAAGAATTGTGAATGAGTGCCTTAAATTACTCCTCAAATATTGCAAAATGTGCGGCAACGTTTTCACCAAAATCTTTAGTCTTGCATGGAGAGTCATGGTGGCCATTTTCAAAATTTACTTGCCTAACGGGTCAGTTCATTCTTCATTTTTAAATTACCTTGCTGCCAAATGTATTGATCTCCACTAATGATGATGTATTAGTTTTATTTAAGCTTTAAATCAATAAATCTTCAAATTTACTGAACTGAAGTACATTAATTTTATATCATTATAAAGGGAATTGAAAGACCTTTAAAATAAGGTATCACTCGACCCCCCTTTCCATTTAAGATTTTGGGGGTGGTGTCACCCCCGCTTAGGGGGCTGCACGTGCTAACGTGATTTTTTGCCAAAAACTGAGCTTACAGTAAATGCATGTTTCGTTTTCGATGCGCCACCCTGTATATGCATTGCTGGTTTGCTCTGTGAATACTTATAGGCTAGAGAATGTAAGGATCTCTGTATCGTCTTCATCTTGCGCGATGAGGATGAAAATCATCTTGGCGAAACATTGGTAAGTAGTGATCGTCAGATTTTCACCTACTTGCGTACACAGAATAACGCTTTTTTTATTTTTTTTTTGCAAAGAGCAATGCGGATTATACCTACATAAGATAGGGGGCCATCTCAAGAATCTGTTTTGAGTCTCATCTTAATTAATATACAAATAAAGAGCGAGTTGAAAACTAAACATGCGAGTTCAAACCTGCTAAACTTATCCTTGAGCAAAGACACAAACAACTCCATAGGAATATTAATCAACGTAGGCCCGTCAGCATCTTTCTTTTTTTGTTTCCCGCTTTTCAACTCAGAGCTTTTTCCAGAACTCTTTTCCGATCCCTTTTTTCCTTTCTTATCAGCAGGCGCTTCTTGTTTAGGTATTTGTTTGCCAGTCTGTGCCATTCCTATTTTCCTCAGCAGTATGTCGTACTCGTCTAAAATTATCCCAAGATTTTCTAGCTTTCTCACATTGAAGTCAACACAAAGGGCAAAACTTAGACAAAAGTACTATGACTGCTAGAGTTCGTTCATGCAAACGATTTATGTATATGGGTTTTACTCTGCGACATATTCTCGAATGCCACACTGGTGTTTGGTTTTTGTGATTCTTCTCATCGTCTGTCACTGTGCTGTCATTTTTGTAAAATTATTTAATAATAACAAGGCAGATGTTGGAAAAAGGTGGTCAGTAACGACAAAACAAGTATTTGCTAGCAAACTGCTACTTTGTCGTCTGCAATTTTGTCGAACAGTGAAAAAATCTCTAATGCGTCATTCATTGTCCCATGGTCTTAGCTACGCGAGATTTTTTCGAACGAAAAATGTCCATTGCGAGATGCAAGAAGGCACTCTATAAGTTTCTGCGATGGTTTTCCTGGCATCTTTTGACGTTTATTATGTTCCGGTCTTGTTGAAGTAAATACTACTTGTAGTACCCTCGTATCTCACCAAACCCACGAGTTAGCGCACACGCAGCGAAGGAAAGCAACTCACCGCGCCCCCGTACAGTCCTCCTCTTTGGCCGCCTATAACCCCTCATTCCTTGTTCTCGTGTCAAACGGTTAACATGTCAATTGGGTTCGCGCACCGGTTTTTACGTTTTCAGCAGTGTCAAGGAATCGCTGAACAATACGGTCGGTCGCCTTCAAGGTTCCTTTGGTCGCGGAGCAAAATTATAAAGTGGCGCGCAGGCCTCTTTCTCTGAAGGGGTGTCACCATTAGGTAATTGCCGACTAACCGATCTGTTTTAGGTGCAAGTTAGGTGAATGTTAGTATGGATGCCTCACCGGCGTTGCAGACTGTGCCTCACATGATGTTTGAGATAACGTTCTGACTCTGTTGCTTGGGATAGCTACCTGGACCTAGCTTGTAATAGCCTACCCCATAACAAGGACGAACAAAGACGTTTGGGATAACGCTGAAACATTGGACTCGGTTGTTTGGGATAGCAACGTGGACCTGGCTTGTGATGGTCAGCTCCACAACAAGGACGAACAAAGACGTTTGGGATAACGTGAAAGCATTGGACTCGGTTGCTTGGGATAGCAACGTGGACCTGGCTTGTGATGGTCAGCTCCACGCGAAGGTCGAATGATGACGTTTGGAATAACGACTCAACACTGATCTCCGTTGCTTGTGATGGTAACTTGTACTTAGCTTGTGATGGCTAAGATCCTACGATAAATAACACTGAAAACGTTTGGGACAACGTAGCAACAAGGTATGGTCAACAATGGTCAGGGCAAAAGTCTCACAGTTTTTGGTCACCCGAGAAGAAGTTCCCGGATGCTAATCAACTAGAAGTACAAGCAGTTTTCTTCTGTTGTGAATGACTTGCTCCAGACTTGATGTTCTGTCGAAAATTATACTCCACTGATAATGCGACAACTATATCCTACATCAATAGAATGGGGAGCTTCTAGTTTCCACGTCTGGACCAGGTTGCGACAGAGCTATGGCAGTTGTGTAAAGAGAGAAATCTTACTGTCTTAGAGTGGGACGTGATAACGGAGTGGGAGCTACACCTGTCACCGTCCTGATTTTGGTTCATGTATTCGGTGTCTTTTTCTAGAAGTAACGCACAGATCTGATAGAAGGACCCAGGATGTCGCTCCGACTAATTCTGAAGCTTACCCTGGTTGTCGTCACTGTCGTCATTCCGATCAGCATCTATAATCCTTCATGTTGTTGTGGACTTAGATTACGGTAGGACCTTTGTCGGGAAGAAATTCATGTCTGTTTTCCTACCTTGAAATTCAGTCTTTTACCCAAAATGCTACTAACGATGCAGGCATAAGTTGGTTTTGAAGGGTATTTACAGGTTGAGGCCATCTCAACCGAAATATAGATACTGTGGTCGTTCTCAACTATTCAAAGGGGTTGCTGGTGATCTCTATAGATATTCGGATGAGGAAATCAGCAACACTGCTAGCCCTACCTCCGGTGAGAGTGTGCAAACTAATTGCAAGAGACAACATCCGGATCGGGTTGAATAATATTGAAATTGGGATTTCTCAGTTTTTGAATGTCTCGGGGTCACTCATGTGGCAACCACTTTTAGTTTTACCGTATCTTACGCCCAAAATTCTGTGCAGTCAAATTATTTATTCGTCACTGTCAAGTAACTTTATCCTGGCGCCTCTGATCCCAGATGGATAAAGTCAGTTTCAGCAGAGAGTGATTTAGTTGTGTCACAATTGACAGCCCACAGTACATGAAATGCGTCTACCTCTGCGGCGGCTAAATTATAGTAGGCTCAGACTTGCGGCGGGCTGGAGCGCGTTTTCTGAGACACCTCTCAAATCTCTTATGCCAAACAATAGCTTTGCTCGAGCAGCATTTGAGGTGAGCCAAGTATCCACACCTTAAACATAACTATGTTATTACGTTATTTGCTTGTTCACATGTAACGGATTGTAATTTTTGAACCAATGTACGTCATATTACCTGTTGTTAAAACTTGAGTTGTTACAATCGAAATTTACATTTAGTTGCTTTGAACTTGCTTTGAACATCTACAAGTAGTATTTACTTCGACGAGACTGGAACATAATTACGTGTTCAAACGAACTTACCTTTATGTGATGTTCGATCCTAATTATGTGAAGGTATTGTGGAAGTAAATAACTTTCTCGCTCCCTATGTATCACCCAATTGTTGCTACAACTTAGCTTTGAAGAAAATGAGAGGCTATAGGCGGCCAGAGAGGAAGAAGGTAGGTGGGCGCGATGAGCTGCTTTCCTTCGCTGCGTGCGCGCTTTGAACTCGTGGGTTTGGTGAGATACGAGGGTACTACAAGAAGTATTTACTTCGACGGGACCTTCACATAATTAGGATCAAACATCATTTACCGGTAAGCTCGGTTTTAGCATAATAATTCAAGTTTCTTGATACATTGAGATGTATTGAAATATAAATAAAAAGTAACAAGCTGAAGTCGAACCTTCAAAGGGAAATCCAAAATCTTCTTCGTAATTTTGCTGATCATGAACAATTCCGATTCGTTTGTTTATACATGCATTAATCTCTTTAGCTGTATGAGAAGTGTTATTAACAAGCTCTTCGAGTATCATATAGTTTACGCTGTACATTGGAAAACGCAGCTTCTTGCTTATAGTGCAAGCCACTTTGTGATATTCTGAAATATGGAAAAATGGGATATATCAAGCATAGGTAAAATTAAATCCAATTATTTGTATATAAGACAAAAATAGAACTTTTGTTGTATCCTGATTTTTGTACAGAGAAAAATAACTGAGGTTTCTAGAACCACAGAACATATTATTTAATGAGATATTGTTATATTAAACTTGCAAACCTGTTGATGGTCCGCCATGTACTATCACAAAAAATGCATTCCTGGTATTCGCATCTTCATCAACTTTCACTGGTTCCATGATTGATAATTTAGTTTCCTCGTCACACACTGTGGTCCAACCGTCTGTATCACCGGTTTCGAGATGATCTTCCAAACCATCCAAATAATCTAATAACAAAAGACATATTCAAAAGTATCTAATAGTTAATAGCTATAGGTATTAAATGACATAAAATGCAACACCGACTAGGAGTGCTGTAATTTTGAGCTTACTTTTACAAGTTTTTGGTCTACTGATAAATAGAAAGTGATTAAAATTTTAACTCGAAATAGATGATATATTCCACCTCAATGTTAATAGTGTGTTGAAGCTTCTCTGTTCTCTACACATCAGGCCATCTAAATTTGGTTTCGTAGAACCTCCAATGTTTGTGATGGGTACCTTGAACTTTGCAACGTTCTTCCCATCATGTCTCATGCATGTTCGATGGGGGAAAGGTCTGGAGATCGAGGAGGCCACTGAAGCAGATGTACTCCGGACGCTTCTAAACAGTCTAAACTAACACGTGCGATATGAGGTGAAAAAGTATTTCCGAAAACGGGAGCAGATGTGGGTTGTAAAGCTTGTGGATATAGCGCTGGGCAGTCATGCTACCTCGAATGAATACTAATCGTAAGCAATGGCACCCTATACCATATCACCCACAGTGCGATTCATATGCGGTCCGATGGAATATTGGACGTTTCATCTTCCACTACGTCTCCTCCTTACTCTTACACGGCCATCATGTGTGCCCAAAGAGAATCTGGACTTATCGCTGAACACGACTGAGTTCCATTCCACATTCCATTCAACTCTCTCCCTACTCCATACCAATCGTTGCCGACGATGCTGCGGGGTCAGAGGTAGTACAAGATGGGGAAGGTATGAAAACAGTTCAAAATACCTTATTTGGCGATAAACTGTCCTCAATGCTATTGCCCTTCCAACAACATCAAACCACTGGTTCGCAACTGCTCTTTTTGTGGAAAATTAAGTGCTAGTTACCTCAAATAACGACCATGTCGTTCTGTAGTCTGTCTTTGATGTAAAGTACCTCTAACTCTAACTCATCGATGTCGGTCTTTTTTGAACCACGTCGGCAACATCTCATTACAATAGCTTCGTTTCGATTCACCCGATTTGCGATTTCTCTAAAAGAAATCCGGCTTCACGTAACCCAATTATTCGATCGCTCTCAAACTCGGAAAGTTGAGTGAAATTAACGCGTCTGCGAACTCTAGGCATGATAATGCAATATAACAACAATGAAACAAATGAAACCAATACAGAAAAATTACTGAATATTAAGTAAACATGTTCATATTGTTTGGATTCTGATATGACAAAAAAAGTACTGCTCGGAATGCCTTCAACATTTTGTCAGCATTCACCCGTACTTCCATAAAAGCAAATATGTTTACAAGTTTTTATCAAAATTCAATGTTAATGGGTGTTGCGTATATATATATATATATATATATATATATATACATATATATATATATATATATTAGATTAATCAAATTTAACAACAAATAAACGTTAGCTTGGGGCAAGCATAACTTTATGATATATGTAGTAAGAACCTCTTGGCAGCACAGGAGATGGAAATAAGTTCCTGCTCATGTATCTATACACTCTTTATACTTGAACCAGCACGAAGGTCCAAGGCCTAAACACCCTTGGGTTCTGTGGGGCTATAAGAGCATACAGGGGAAAGAGGGGAACGCCACACGGACTCTAGTGAGGGAACGTGCATGCAACGTGTACACATTCTGGCCCCACCTGAGATCCGCCGGGAGGTACCTCCAAGCTCGACAATCAGAGACCGCCTACCATCTACAGGCAATCACAACATCCATAGCCAGGAGAAAAGTTCTCTTGGGACGGGATTCGGACTCGCGCAGCACACGGCGCGTTGATTAGTAGGTCCATAACGTGTGCTACTATCCCAATAGTTAATATATCACCCTGCTGTACTTTGACACAGAATATTCGCTATATTAGGGTAGATTCAGCTAGAATATTCTATATACAAATTTAACCAGAAACCAACGTTATCTTGGGGCAAGCAGACCATTATGATGTATGGAGTAAGTAAGAAGCTCTTGGTAGCACAGGAAATAAGATCCGTCTCATGTATCTATACACCGGTCTGAGAGGGAACGAAACAGCCGATACTCTGGCAAATAGTGAGGCTATTACACCATAGATAGGGCCTGATTCAGCGATTAGGAACGCGATGAGACTAAAGAAATTATATATGCAAGAATGAGCGAAAAGATTCATCGGTATTGGAGGATGTTAACAGATTAACCCATGCTAAGGCAACTATAGTTGTAGTCACCGTTCTTGGAGGGTCAAAGTAAGACCACCAGTATCCCTTTATATATCTCTATCTTCCTCATACATACACATGCAATCTACCCCTGACTGTGAATGTTTGTTGGGTAAGCTCAAAGGCATACGTTTTTTAGTTATGTGTCTCCGTCTCGAAAACCTTGTCGTTACGTATGAGTGCCCTTCAATTTATGATATTTGTCGGAGTGACAACTTACTTGACATCGGCGTGCAATTCGAGTTGTCCTGTTATCAATCTTCAATATAAAATTGTACAATGCATGGAAATACGATCAACAGGAAATTGCCGACAGCTCTTGCTAAATTTATTAGAGTACTTCCAGGAAGAGAATGAAAACAGCAGTCCCCTGTTTCCCACTTCATGCCGAAGTACCAGATGCGCTGAAGATTAGTCTATGCAGTGTTCCGCCCATGGTACGGAGACCTGATCAAGAGATCTTACTTATTTCATATGGCGTTGATGACGTAACCACCAAGAATGGCAACTACAACTATATATATATAAAGAGAAAATGATCATGCGGAGAAAGGTATATAACAAAAAGTAGGAAAATAATGGGCAAAATCCGCAAAAAGTGGATTCGAGCAGAAAATAGGATAGGTAACCCGAGCGATACGTATTTCTGCTGGTTGGCTTCACCAGACCCGAAATGAATGTACATATGCAACTACAAAAGTAGATACACATGTCCACACAACCGGATACGGTTGTAACCTGAGGAAACGAAGATGGAGAGGGAAAAATCGACACACGAAGTCCACAACAAGAGCCAACCTACACATTGTAGTATAAAATGGCTAGAAGACCTCGAATTTCCAAGGAGACATCTAATCACAACCACGCGGCCGGTTATAGCCACTTGCTGTGGTACTTCAGGCCCAAAGGATCAAAAGAGAAAATGATCATGCGGAGAAAGGTACGAGTATATAACACAAAGTAGGAAAATAATGGGCAAAATCCGCAAAAGGGAAGAAAGTGGATTCTAGCATAAAAGGCTATAACCGGCCGCGTGGTTGTGATTAGATCAATTTTAACAAAGAGGGTAACATAATCAATGCTGCGGTTAAATAGAAACAGTTTCAAATCTTTACTGGGACTGCGAAAGACGCTGAGTGCAGAGTGTTCATGGACGGGCAAGAGACGCTTAAGCTCATTTTGTGCAAACCTGCAATCGTCAGAGTCGGTTAAAACACACTTGTAGGGGTATCGCTCCGAGTCGAAGACCTTTCTCCAAATAATCTGATCGACTTTCTTATGAGGTCAGAGCTACTGGGAAGAATAAAAGTAGATGTGAGCCACAATAGAAAAACATAAGTAAAAATGTCATACCAGAAACCATGGCGACGAGTTGTTCTTTATCGCATATTGCCAGCGGATCTTGAAGGGTTTCTTCGTTAGATGCCTCCAACAGTTTCTGTCTGATCGCGTCCTTGATCTGCGAGAACGTCATATTAAATATTTCCGGGAGCTTTTCGCCAGGTCGACGTTCCGGTATTAGAAGTGTTGAAATGTTATGGTAGACGAGATAGGTGTGGATCAGGAATTGCTCTTCACTGTATTCTCTGGAAGACAATATACAAGGTATCCCAGAATGAGTGGCCAATCTCTTGTTTACATATAGAACACAAAAAATAATATGAAAAGTTCTTATAAAAAGTGTCCCCTGTGAAACAATTGTCCCCTAGAAAACGACACTAGAAATCTCTTCTTCTTGAACCATTTTTGAATGACGCTGTATGATTTTAACGAAATCTTAAACGCAAAGTAACCAGTTGAGGCCTCGCAAATAGAGATGGGTGGTTCCAAATGAAAGATACCGCAGAGGAAATTGATGGAATCGATTCCGATCATTTCGAAGAAATCGAGTTCGATCATCTTGAAGTAAACTATTTTGATCATCTCGTATGAGTCGATTCCGGTGGTTTCGAATCTGATTACGATGATTCCTATTATGCAGGCTTATATTCCGACTCTCGAACGATATGACTCGGACTCGAATATTGTCGCTACCGCAATAGGGATGATAAGGAATCGAAATTAAAAAGAATCGTGAACGAATCGAAGAAATCGGTTCTGACACCGGAGACGAAACCATGGAATTGTACCATCAAAAGGAACGGCGTAGCTCAGCTCTAAGGCGACAACATTGACAACCACCACTTATTTTTACCAAGACTTTATAGGGTATATGTAACTGACTGGTTTGTATCTTGAATATCTGTGAAATAAATTAAAATACGTCAATTTTTTCATCTTAATATTTTATTGAAACTAAAAAATTTATGCATGAAAAATAATTCAGACAAATGTCCGCGTAAACCCAAGCCCTCATGATTACATTTTCGATCAGTTTTTGGTAGGTTTCGGGAGGAATATTTTCAATCGCTTACGTAATATTGTTCTTAAGCTGCTCTACAGTATTTGGTTTGTTGGCATAAACCCTATTTTTCAAAAATCCCATGAAAAAAAGCCAGGAGCCATTAAATCCGTTGACATTACCAAATCGAGAAATTAAACGTCCTGGAAATATTGTTCGCAAAAGATTCATTGTTTCTCTAGCTGTGTGACAAGCTGCTCCATCCTGCTTGAACCACATATTTTGCAGGTTACATTATTGGATTTGAGAAGCCAGAAAGTTTTGCACCATATCACGGTAGCGCTCTCCAGTGACAGTAAGAGAATTACAGCATCTTCAAACTCCGCACCAAACTTCGACTCGACGAGGATGTAGTGGTCGTTGATGGATGACACGAGGGTTCTCTAATGCCCAGATATGACAATTCTGCTTATTAACAAATCCGTTCATATCGAAGAAGGCTTCATCGCTCATTATCAGCTGTCGGTAAAAATTGTTATTTTGGGTATTAAGTTGCTATTGCATGACTGTATTGTCGGTGACTTTCATGGTCACTAGGCTGTAGTTCTTGGGTTAACTTAACTTTGTATGGCCGCAAATGCAAGTCTTTTTTTAAAATAGGGCATAATGACGTGCGACGAATATCCAGTTCTTGAGAACGATGTCTGGTAGACATCTCAATTTCACTAACTCTCTTGATATTTGCCGGAGTACTAACAGATCGAACACGACTTTGGAAAGTCTTTAACTTCACCTGTTTGTTCAAATTGCCGCACCAACTGACGAATGGTGTTGACACTGGGCACATTATTTCGACCGAAATCTTGTCGTAGCTTCCGAATCGTAGCAACAATCGACTCATGTTTTAAGAAAACGGTTTAACAATACTGACACGTTGTGGGACCCTGTAGCGTTCCATGATGAATTGTGCTTTAAACAACTACTACGCCGCCACCTACTGAAATGCGTGTATAAAAAATGGTGCGCAATTTAAATCAGTCAGTTATATATTGGCCACCGTGTACATCTTCTGCCCATACGCTAAATTGCATCAGCCACCTACACTGGTCTACACTGAATGACAGTTGTTCTGTGTGACGCCCCAAATAGGTTATTTAAGGAAAACCGAGTTCCATTTCATCCTTTTTAGGGGCATGTACCGTTGTAAGGGAGGGACACAACATTTTTGTAGGAACTTGATACATTATTTTGTGGGCTCTATAAATATGAATCACTGAGATAGCACGAAGTGTCATCTAATGGGTGATTTTTTTGCTAGTATCTTTTTAGCAACACTGTTTTTCACAGATGACGCGTGAATCGTGTCTTGTGTCATTGTCAAACTTGTTCAGTTTGGTCTATAATTTAACCATGAATCGACTTACGAACGAACAACGCTTGCAAATTATTGAATTTTACTATCAAAATTCATGCTCGGTTAAGAGAGTGCATCGAGCACTGCTTCCAATTTATGGGCAATTTGGTCGGCCTACTGAGGGAGCTATTCGGAAGCTTGTGATTAAATTTCGAACCCAGTTTACATTATTGGACATTAAACCACCAACACGCAGACGTAGAGTGAGGACTGAAGAAAATATTGCGGCTGTATCCGCCAGTGTTAGTGATGACCTGATGACCGTGAAATGTCGATTCCCGCCGTTCGCAGTAATTGGGCCTCTGTTACTCCACTACGTGGAAAATTTTGCGACAGGATTTGGGTGTAAAACCTTATAAGATACAGCTGGTGCAAGAATTGAAGCCACACGACCTCCCACAACGTTTCGAATTTGGTGAATGGGCGCTGGCAAAATGGAGGAAGATCCACATTTTTATCGAAAAATTGTGTTCAGCGATGAAGCTCATTTCTGGTTGAATGGGTACGTTAACAAGCAAAATTGCTGCATCTGGAGTGAAGACCAGCCAGAAACATTGCAAGAGCTACCAATGCACCCCGAAAAAAACACTGTTTGGTGTGGATTATGGGCCGGTGGCATCATCGGGCCGTACTTCTTCAAAGACGACAATGGCCGGAACGTAACTGTGAATGGCGAGCGCTACCGTGCGATGATAACAAACTTTTTTTTGCCCAAAATGGAAGAGCTGGACTTGGCTGACATGTGGTTTCAACAAGACGGTGCCACATGCCACACCGCACACGAAACAATGGCCCTATTGAGAGGCGAGTTCGGCGAACAGTTTATCTCACGTTTGGGGCCCGTCAATTGGCCGCCTAGATCGTGTGATTTAACGTCGTTGGACTATTTCTTGTGGGGCCAAGTTAAGGCTAATGTCTACAGGGTTAAACCAGCCACGATTGACGCACTGGATGCCAATATTGAAGCATTTATTCGTGAGATACCGGCCGATATGTTGGAGAGAGTGTGCCAAAATTGGACCTTGCGCATGGGCCATCTAAAGCGGAGCCGCGGCCAACATTTACATGAAATAATCTGTAAACATTAAATTATATCGACCGTTCTATCGACCAGACTCGACTGGCACTTTGTGCTGTCTTACTAGAATAGTTGCTTAGCTTTCGTTCGTTGTCCTACCTGAGACCAAGCGTAGACTATGCTGAAGAGCTGTCAAAAAGCATGGAACAGCTGTCCGTGCTATACGAAAGCTATATTACTAGTTCACAGAAAATAACCCCCTATACTGAGTTCATAAATTTAATAGATCGTTGAAAATCTTTGTAATTCAGTAGGTCGTTTTGCCGAAGTCTAGATTAAACGTAAACATCCCATCAGTATTTATCGTGAAATATGATACCTATTCACCATGTAGACAAGACCTCATTTGTTATTGATATACAGGGTGTAAACGTTGTGGTAGTTATTATTTAAATGGGTGATAGAGGGGGTTAAAAGAGGCAAAAAGTTTCATACATGGGGGTCAAAACGGCATTTTTTTTTTAGAGAAGAGCGACTTTAAAGTAAAATAAAATCTGACAACGCCGCAACGCCAGACGCAAATTACGAGGGCACGCAGTGTAAGTAAAGATGGAGTTTGTTATTTTTGGCTCTTAGGTATTTCATTATTTGATAATGTACTCGTAAAATGCAAACAATTAAAAAAACGGACTTACCACTGTCTCAGCGCTTCACCTGGTGTGTGAAAGTTTATTGAACGTATTAAATAAATCCACTTATAAATAGGGAACACAAATTTGATACATACATTGTTTTTCTTTTTAAAACCCACACTGCAATTTTTTGTATGTAAAGAAGGTGTTCAAAATGTCGTCCTCCACTTTCCACACAAGCTTCATTACGACATTCACGAATGGTATGAGGATTTTCTTGTGCCCACGTGTGAGTATTATGGAAATTTAATATCCTATCTCGCGTAAAAGTACATTCGTCCGTCTATAGAATTTTTTTAAAAAAATCCGGATTTTCAATGTTTTTATGCAACAACCACTGACAAAATGTTAGTCTGCGAGGATAGTCTTCTGGTAACAAGGCCTGTACTCGGTGTACATGGTAGGGACAAAGCAAATTTTCCAGTAGGATTCAATGGACTATGGTATGCGATAGTCCTACGCGGCGGCCTAATTCCCGAGTGATGATATCTGCATTGATTTCCACGATATTTAAAATTTGTTCCTCGTGCTCTACAGTAACCTGTCTTTTACGCGTGCGAAAATTAGTGGGCTGAACACTTAATGTATCTCGAAGTCTTTGGCACACTTACACAAATGTCCTTCTGTCTGGGTGTACCCGTTGGGGAAATCTATCGCGATAAATTTAAGCTGCAAGATTTAAATTCTGACGAGCTTCACCTTAAACTAACAACATGTCGGCGAACAAAGACAAAACAACATACTAACCACTGTTACCGTTTGAGATCGATTGCCGGTTCGATAAAAGTGATGATGACCGAAGCGCTGTTGTCATGTGTGTTTTAAATATTCAATTTAATGAAACTTACTCACTACAAATTTTGGCTGAGAACAACTTAATGCCATTTATTTGTTAATTACCCAATTTGAAAACGTTTTAGATTAGATTATAAAAATTACTAAGATTGTGGTGATTGTGGTCGATATAAAGCACTTAAATTTGTAAACTATAAAGCCATTTAGACAAAAATGTATTGAATTTTGGACCATGGGTCATGCGAACTTTTTGACTTGTTTTGACCCCGCTATTACCCATTTCAATAATGACTACCATAACGTTTACACCATGTATAAGATTATATAGAAATTCACTAACTCTGACGAAATGATTTGTAAATACAGATGCTATGGACAACAGAATATACTGATTGTGTGACATTCACCATATAACACACTGTAATTTTCTCGCTGATGCGTTGGAAGTGAAATGAGGCATTTGTCCAACAATTGAAGCTTAATGGGCAAAAAATACCCTTACTCATCGTAATTTGGGAACCAGTACTCCACAGGAAACGGTGAGGCGTTCTTGACGATAAATGAATCTGTTCCAGCACTGCCAAATGGTAATACAGGGGGAAATTCCAATACATTTCTGCTGATGCTTAGCTCAGGTATGATTCCTTCTCCGATCAGTCTCAAGCGCACGGGTTCCTTGTTGCCTGTGACAAAAAGACAGAATAACTCTCTATTCCTAATAAAATTGATATTCAATGATGTAAAGATCACGTTAAGTCACTATGCAATGTCCGTACGCTGGTCATTTGCGGCAAACATTGAGTCTTTACAAAACGCTTGGCTACGTCTGACGAATCATCCACACTTTTGAGAATTTACCAGTATGTATGGGAAAAGTAAGCATAACTATAAAAATAATTAAAAATGTCTAATTTAACTGCAAAATATCATAGCAGCCGCGTAGTTAGAAGCCTAAATACCAGGGCACTGCAGCTACGCTGAGGGGCTTATAGAAACTTTGTTAATCTGATTTTGCCTGAGGTTTATAGAACTGGGAAAAGTATCCTCAGGTAGATTGTTCCACAATCTCGATACCTGAAAGACAAAGAATCGTCTAGTTCCGCGACATGACTAGGATGGGAGGCCGAAGTTGGGAGAGTCTGTCTGGCAGGCTCATCGCGCAGCAGAATTATGCAGGAGAGTTCTGAGGAGCAAAGCCCGTTGACATAAGAGTAGAAGATAATCCGATTTTTGTACATGTTTGTATTTGTGAAGGTTTGCTAAGTGTGTGCATCCGGAATTAGAATTTAACAGCCATGTTACCTTCGATGTCTACTACGATGACAGCTTTCAATGATCCCTGCATTTCCGGCATGAAAATGATGGTCAATATTTGTTTTTTTCCAGGCAGTAGGTCGTCCTTAGTGGGGATGACCTTAAAAGCATTTGCAGATGCCGCGTTAGAAGCTGTTACTTTGATCGACCATTTTACTTCAAAGCACCCACTAAAAATATACGTTATTTAGACACCTAACAGTTTTTCTCATGTTGGATAAAAATTCATCTTGTAATGATTAGGTACCATTATTTATTTATATAAACTACTCACCTGTTTTTGATGTACATTGATCTTCTAAATGCGCTACCCACTTTGACAGATCCAAATTCAAAACACTCGCATCCTAAATCAATTCGAGGTAGAGACACACTTGCTCTTATTGTAACTGGTATTAGTCCGCCATGTCTCAGCTAAAAAAAACAGGCAATAACACGCACAGTATAAAAAAAATGTTCTCCTGCAGTTGGAAAATGTATGTTTACTTGATTGGCAAAGTTATACACAAGTTAATCTTAGATGTGACATAAGCGACACTCATCACTTAAGTAACACTGGACACTAATGCTATACGAATGCTAAACATGTCGCTTTTAGCGTCGCGTTAATGTTGCTCTATCAGCCAAATGAAATATACTAAGTGACATATAAATCCGAACACCCAGTTTAAATGGTTTTATTTTAATAAAATTTTGTATAAGTACGTAATGAAGCATAATAAGTAAATGATAAAAATTTCAAAATGATTGCACTGCTTTAAAGCCCTTGACATTTAATAATGTGTGGATGCACCCTGATGTGCTACGCATTCTCCAACGCGCCTAGGCATGCTTCTGATCAGGTGGTCAATGTCCTCCTGTGGTATCTCATTCCAGGCAACCACCAACTCTTCTCGAAGTGCTTCTAGAGTCTGAGGAGGACGTTGCAAATTGAGCAATCTCCTACCCATCATATCCCACACGTGCTCAATTGGGTATAAGTCGGGAGATCTTGGTGGCCATGTTAACAATGTGACATCATTATGTTGAAAGAAGTCTATTGTGACGCTTGCAACATGTGGTCGGGCATTATCTTGTTGGAAAGTTGGATCTGCCAGGGTGTCAAGATAGGGTAAAAGATGGGGTTCTAGAACTTCGTGGATATAACGCTGCGCGTTCATGTTACCTCTGATGAAGATTAAAGGTGACCTGGAACCATAAGCTATAGCACCCCAAACCATAACTCCAACAGTGTGATGAACATGTCTTTCAACAAAAAACTGTGGATTCCTCCTTTCACCACGTCGCCTTCTAACCCTGGCACGACCATCGTGCATGCCTAAACAAAATCGAGACTCGTCACTAAAGACAATACTGTTCCATTCCTGATCCCAGAGTGACCGTTGTCTGCACCACTCAAGGCGATTACGTTAGGGTTTGCTAAATCTACAATTCGTTTATAATTCAAATCGGCAATTATCAACATAAACAGCAATTCGGAAGATTAGACGTGGCAACAATCAAATAACAACCCGATTTTCTTCCGCATTCTTTTCATCAACACAGATATCCTGGGCGAACTTTATTTATTGTTATACCTGTTTGGTTATATGTTGTTAAGGGAAAGAAAGAATTTAATTTGCTGTCAGGTACCTTTGTAACAATCTTGGGATAGTGAAAATTAATTTATTGCTTCAGATTTTACTTCCAAAATGGCTTACACACTAGCCGAAAGAGTGGAAATGATTCTAATCTATGGTGCCCAAAATCAATGTGCTCGGCAAACTGCCGTAACGTTTAACGCCAGACATCCGGCGTAGATAACTTCGCATAGGTATGTTTAGGACCTTGTTACTAAGTTTACTCAAACTGGATCTGTTGCAAATAAAAAACGTGATCATCGGAGAGTTTGGGATGAAGCCGCTCAAGTTTTGGGTCATTTTGGAATAAATGGAATAAAATACTTCATTATGCAAAATTGTTGCTGCGACTGGTACTTCATTAGGTTCCGTACACAGAGCTACCAAACTCCTTAAATTTCATTCAAAATGAAAATATCGAAAGAGAGAAGATGATTTCGATAGGCTAGTTGAGTTTTGTGAACAAATGACTGCAGCGACTAATGATAATAGTATTCATGTAAAAAATATCTGCTTTAGTAATGAATGCACATTCTAGTCAAATGGATTTGTTAACAAGCATAACTGCAGGTACCCAGTACCCCCAGAAAATTAATTTATGGGCAGGCATTTTGGGAAACAAAGTTGTTGGTCCATTGTTTATTAATGTTAATTTGAATGGAGACATTTATTTGGATAGGTTGGAAAATACCATCAATCCGCTTATCACTAAAACCATTGAAAACCAAATCGAAGAGGATGGAAATCCTATATTTGATGAGTCTGAAATATATTTCCAGCAAGATGGCGCTCCTCCTCACTATGTTCTTCCGGTTCAGCAATTGCTAGACGACGAGTTTTCAGATAAATGGATAGGGCGAAGAGGGCCTATAGAATCTATTGTGCTTACGCCCCCACCTTAAAGTTTGGATCAGAGTTCCCCAAACTTTTTTGTGTCGTAGACCCCTTGCCATGTTTTTCCGTGTTGGGTAGAAACCCTACTTACCTGATATTGATTTCCTGTAAATTTCTAACTGTAGTGAAGTTTAATGTTAAAAACTTAAAGTAAAAACACATGTTAATTTATACATTTATCAATTGAATTTAAATTAAAACTATTCAAAATAAAATTTTGTATCTGTTATGTAAAATATACGTAACATTAAATAAACAGGTGTCTGACCAATAAGTGCCCGCATTGGGAATAAGTACCCGCATTGAAAAAAAAATAAGACGGATAAAATAAAAAAAAAGTGAAAAATAATAAAAAAAATTTTTTACTTAAAATAGTACAATAAGCGAGTTCGTTTATTAATTATTATATAAACGTATGTTCTACAATAATTTCACTGTTAGTTTGATTATTTTCCGCTTCTTATACGTTTAAGTTATCTAAAAATAGGCAAAAAATTAACGAATTTTAGTGTGTACCTATCCTTGAATTTTCAGAATAATTTAAAAAAAAATATTTTCTAAAAAATTCTTAAAAAAATCAATGCGGGCACTTATTTCCAATGCGGGCATTTATTGGTCAGACACCAATAAACATAAAATAAACTATAAATAAAATAACATAAGCAATAAGTCAATATTTTTAGTGAGAAGGATGAACCTGATGCTTTAATAATAAATTATCAACATTTGGCGTCAATTTTGTAAGGGTTAATCTTAAATCTCCTCGGCTAATGATGTCCAGTCTGTTTCTTTTTTTCGTTAGGAGATTGGTAACAGCGCTGAACTCCCTTTCTACTAGGCATGACGACGGAACGGAAATTAAAAATTTCCTCGCTATATTCCATACTACGGGATAAGTAACAGGTATGTTGTTACTGATATCCGTTTTTAAACTGAACCTTAAGTTCTTCGTTTGTACTTAGTTCAGTCAGTTCCTCTTGTATTATGACATTCGTTTCTTCTATGTCACCATATGGATTAATTATCCACGGTGGTAATACCATAGTCAAAATATCCTCAAACCTAGATTCAAAATCTGAATAGAGGGCATTTAAATGTTGAACGTAAGTTGAAACGTCGTCTTCCTGGCAACTTGTCTGTGCCAAATTGGGGAACTGAGAAAATTCGCCCCGTCCAATATTTTGCTTCATTAGTTTAACTCTGGCAAGAAACGCTGATAAGATGGACTTTGTTTTAATGAAATTTAAACTGTCGCCTTGCAATTGCAAATTAACCATATTAAATTTTGTAAACAAATCTGTTAAATAGGCGATGTCTGTTTTCCTCTTCATTAAATTTTCTTTTAAAATTGACAATGACTAAATGAAGTGATTCATGCAATCTAACACTCAAATTTTTAGCAACTAAATGTTGTCGATGGATGACGCAATGTATTGCTAACACCCCTGACACATTTTGTTTTAAATAGCTTATAAATCCACGATAACGTCCAACCATGGCAGGTGCTGTAGCTACTGATATTATATTTGATAAAGGAATTGCTTTTTCAATGAAGTAATCCTTCAAAACATGAAATATTGATTCACCTTTAGTGTCGGTTATCAATGTTCTTGCGAAGAGCAGTTCTTCGTAGATTTTTTGATTCATAATAAAACGAACATATGCCAATAACAATGCTACATTATCAGGTAAAGTTGACTCGTCCAGTTGTATAGAGAAATGGGTCGTTTGCAAATAATTACATAAGAAGCTTTCAATATCAGAACTCATTTCATCAATACGTCTTTCAACAGTATTGTTGCTTAAGGGAATTCTTTTGATGATATCAGATGCAGGTTTGTGTAAAACAGTTTTTAAAACCTCGTCAACGGCTGGAAAAATTAACTTCTCTCCGATAGTATGCGGTTTTCCGGATTTGCTATAAGTAACGAGATATTGTAAGACGCCCGCAAACCATCATAATTTCTTTGTGACGTCAAAGCGAACATTCTGTCCAGTGTAGGTCTCTTCTGAAATTTATCTTTGAGTGTTTGAAAGTATTTAAAATCTTTCTCTGTTTTATCAGGGTGGCATCTTCTCAGATGATCTTGCAGTTTAGATGGTTTCATAGCGTCATTGCCCAAAACTTTGTTGCATAAAAGGCACATAGGCGATTGTTTGTCCGGCAATGATGGAATGAAGCCAAATTTCAAATAATCAACACTCTACTGTCTACATTTCTTTTTAGATTCGGACACGGCATCAGTCATCTGTGGGCAAAATTAAATTATTTAAATGAGACAGAAAATCCAGCAGCTGTATATTAAAAATATTTTTTGATTTTTCCGAAAACATTCCATAATTCGAACATATTCTTGCAACAATTAGCTCGAATTACGGAGATTGCACTGTTATTATATTACCGATTGCTAAAACTTTCAAAAAGAAACTATTGAGGAGTACTCGTGTAATTTGGCATGATTGAATATTTAACTACTAATAACTAAAGTCATGATTGGCGTAATTTATCTATCTTTGCTAACTACGAGTACAAAACTAAAATTTAATAAAAAATAATGTACTTACTTTTCTCCAGCACTCTCAAACAAAATAACACTGACTCACTATAATTTGTGAGATATATTATCTGTTTATATTTTTTAAAATATTTTCTTAGCACTTTCCTTTTCAAGATTCAGGAAACGAATAAACGTATTTGTCCCACATTCGTATTTATAGAGTGACGAATTGAACAAGTCAGTGCAAGGTAGCAAAGTTCTGAGACTGCGACTCTCAGGTTTTTACAAGTTCAAAATGTATTGCGACCACAAAGCCTACAGCTTACACAATTTTATAAACATATATTATACACTTTTTACTTCATAGGTACTTTTATAAATAATGTATATGTTTTGATATTATAAGATAGTATGATGTAAGTAAATAATGTACTATCAGTGTATGTGTTGAGATCCACTATCGTGGACCCCCATATTCATTTCATGGACCCCCAATTTTTTTTTCGCTGACGCAGACCCCTTGCAGGTTGTCATAGACCCCTAGGGGTCGATATACACCACTTTGGGAATCAATGGTTTGGATGAACTTCGTCAACGCATCATCGAAAACTACCATGGTATCCCACAATATGTTTTTGAAAATGTCCGTTAGGAATTTGAACATTGCCTATATGATTGTTTGGCCAATAACAGACAACAATTTGAACACTTATTGAGATAAAAAGTGATATTTTCGTGTGTTTTTGTTTTCTATCTGAACAAATGAAGATAAAGATTTTTCAAATTTTCTTGAAAACCAATCGACCGATTTTAAAAAATCAAACGTCAAAATAAAGGACTTCAAAATACGTTTCGTACAAGCTATTACTCGATACCCCTTGTCATTTAAATTTTTTCATTGGATGACCCTCTGGGCAGAGGGTGAAAATCTTTTGACGTGTCTCGGCGTTTTTTCTCTTAATCAGCATTTTTCGATAAATCCGTTGTGGCAAGTTTACAAATAAACACCGTGTATAGGGGTACATACACATAATATTGAAATTTTATTCTTTTTTGAAATGAGAATTAGTCATTGATTGTTTGCAGGATATGCAGAGTAGACGGCATCCATTGTACAACTCTGCCGGTTTGGATGTGAAGAGGTCACCTATCTACTGTAACCGCGGTACATCATCAAAGCTTTTTGCCATAAATGATTAATGAGTCACCGACATAGACTGAAATCTGTTGGGCCAAGATCTGATAATATGGAGGGTGTGGCAATCTGAGGTTGGGCAATGTCACGAAAAAAAATATTTTGAAATGCTTCAGCTTTTGAAGCCGATTACAATCTAGACGAGAAAGATGTGTTAAATTTATCGCAGATAAAGTTATTGATTTATCTTTATCTTAACATCGCGTCGTGTCCATAGCAACCATCACCGCTGCGTGTTTATACCGCGCTTTTAATGTTTATCATTTGGAATATGTGAATTTCAAAGAATGAAATGTTACCGTAAGTGCAAAATTGTTTTCCATGATGCTATCTTCCAACCCAAACTCATCAGCTGTTGGATTGAAAACTACGAACAACTGAGTCACTTCTCCGACAGCGAGCTTCCTCCCTCTAAACTCAATGTTTATTGAACTTGCTTTCTTTCCTAGGCGCACGCCCACAAAAGTGTCAGTTGGGCCATAGTTCACGATCAAAACCTTGTGTCAAATGTATTAAATTACTTCCAGTCAATTCCAGTCCATGTACAATGGCTATTAAAGTGCTAGTATCGCACTTCTATATGGAGGACAATAGAACGGGAACTTGGAAAAATGGCGTTACATAGGTTTACTGTACACTTCCCAACGCACTGTCATTAGCATGAGAATCTATCGCACCAAAATCGGACCATTGTAGATCGCCCACCGCTGCTGTTAGTCGGAACCATTGCAGATTCCCGTTTAATAGCTGTGCCGCTAAATGGCTGACGATTCTGGCTAGCCATTGAACAGATCAAAACAAAATGAAATGCCTTCGTCCGTCCGACCAGGAAAAGAAGACAGCCAACCATGGACAGCTGTTTGGTGCTGAGTAGCTAAGGATCACGAAGCAGCTGTCCATGGTTAGCTGTCTTCTTTTCTTGGTCGGACAAATGCAGGCATCTCATTTTGTTTTGACCTGCACTATCATTAGTTCATACATAAAGGATTAGGTTCGGCACAAGTTAGACCGGCTGTGAAATAAGTTAGCTACGGACATGGGAAACAGAGAAATTAAACGTACAAACATTAGACCATTTTTAGAAATTATGATTATGGTACTAGAAATAAAAATAAACAAATAATTATTGCAACACCAAAAAAGGAAATAATTTTGGAATCTCTTAAATACTTAGTTCCAAAAGTATATCATAACTTACCAAATATACAGGGTGTTCCAGTTTATTGTTGCATAACTTTAAGATTCGATAGAACTTTTAAAATTAATGCATAAAGTCTATATAAACATGGGTCGAAAAATGCGTAGCTTCCAAAATACAGGGTGATTAAATTTACTTTCTAAAATAGTTTTTTTTTCAAATAATATTTGAAGTATAACAGTGAAAATTGGTATACAAGGGTTTTTTGGTACGACAAAACGAACCATGGGCGCTCTCTAGTGTACCTGTAGTGTATTGAAATCAACGAAAAATTTTTCTTAGTGCAATTTTTTGCTTTTTGAATAAAAAAAATGATTCTTCGCACTTTTCAACATAAAAAAGCTCTCTTGTGAATGTTCGTTATAGTTAGCCGTTTTTGAGATATTTCGATTTTTTAAGTTCGATGCATTTTTAATTATTCATGATAAAATAACGTTAAAAAGTCAGTATCTCGATAATTTTTAGAAGTAGGCTGTGCCTGCAAATATTTTTGAAATTGAAAGCAGAATAAGGTTAAACGTCAATTAGTTGACAGTTAGTTTTGTTGTCTGTTGAAATCTGAAACGTTTTTTTGCAATTGTGAATGCACGAAATTTAGTTTCTTTTACCTGTTTTTTTTTTGTAAGTTTTATAAAAATGCCATTTTTATTCTCCAATCAAGAGTTAGCGGATATTCATTTTGTGTATGGCTTTGTAAATGGAAACGCAGCAGAAGCAGCCAGAGAATACGCATGAAGATTTCCAAACAGACGACATCCAACTCGCTCAGTATTTGTAAAGAGTGCATCGCCAAATAATTGAAAATGGTTTTGGAAATTTCCAAAGGGATCAAAACATAAATGTTCGTCAGTGTAGATTTACCCGTATGATGCGTGAGTTTGATAGAGATCCGACCACAAGTGTTAGGAGAGTTTCTGGTGCCTTGGGAATTTCAGCAAGCCATGTTCACCGTGTTCTTAGAAATGACCATGGACGTCCTTTCCATTCGCAACCTGTGCAAGGACTACAGCCAGGGGACGGAGAACGAAGAATCACATTTTGTCCGTGGATTCTTGATAGAACTGATAATAATAGGGAGTTTTTAAGTAACGTTTGATGGACCGATGAGTCATGCTTTACTAGGCGTGGAGTGGTAAATTTTCATAATCAACATATTTGGTCGCATGAAAATCCGCATGCAGTTCGGGAAAGAAATTTTCAGCATGAATTTAGTGTGAACGTGTGGATTGGTATCTACCGTAATCGACTATTTCTACCCTACCTTTTGCCTGCAAGGTTAAATGCTGCGACCTTCTTGGAATTTTTAAAGGCTGAACATGCAAATATGTGGGATGATGTCATGTTAGATTTAAGAAGATTGGCATGGTTCCAGCTTGATGGTTGTCCAGCTCATTATTCGAGAATAGTTAGAAACTGGCTGGACGAAAATTATCCAGTAAGATGGATCGGCCGTGGAGGACCAGTCGCCTGGCCTCCACGATCCCCCGACCTAAATCCATTAGATTTCTTTGTGTGGGGATTTCTAAAAGAAAAAGTGTACCAGACTCTCGTAACCACAAGAGATATGCTAATAGACAGAATCAGGAATGCATGTGATGAAATAAGGCCTTATCTGAATAATGCTATACCACGTTCGATCATTCGTAGATGTGAATTGTGTATTGAACAATTGGGTTTACATTTCGAGCAACTACTTTAGATTTTGTATGTTTGTTCTAACTATCCAATAGCATTTTAATTGTAAATAATTAATTTTATTTGTTAAAAATAATATTGGAAAATTAAACAAATTAATATTCTGTTTTTTTGTGTTTATTTGGAGTTAGGAATTATTGCTGTGTTTAAAAATACAATCTAAACGATCATCTTAATTACTTGAAATGCCCAAATCGAAAATGTAAAAAAATATTATTTTCCCATAAATAATTAAAAATGCATCGAACCTTAAAAATCGAAATATCTCAAAAACGGCTAACTATAACGAAAACTCGCAGGAGAGCTTTTTTATGCAGAATCAGTTTTTTTGTTCAAAAAGCAAAAAAATGCACTAAGAAAAAATATCGGTCATTTTAATACACTACAGGTACAGTAGAGAGCGCTCTCTAACGGCTACAGAAAAGCTATGCCCATGGTTCGTTTTGTCGGACAAAAAAACCCTTGTATACCAATTGTCACTATTATACATCAAATATTGTTCGAAATATTAAAAAAAAAACTATTTTAAAAAGTAAATTTAAACACCCTGTATTTCGGAAGCCACGCATTTTTCGACCCATGTTTATATAGACTTTATGCATTAATTTTAAAAGTTCTATCGAATCTTAAAGTTATGCAACAATAAACTGAAACACCCTGTATATTAGAAAAAACGAAATATCATTATTAAAAATAGATTTATACGAGTGGCTATTGAATACTGATATAAGCAAGATGTAATTTATAAAAAACTCTAACATATAAATATCGGTTCCGCATTGCTAATCTACGATACAAAATTTATGTGTTACTTTTATATTACATAGATTTTTTTTAGTCCAATTAAGTTATTGTAACTACTATGTTATACGATTATGTTGTGTGTTAAAATGTTATGCACATACAAAGATATTTTCCTTTTGTGGCATACTAATTTATTCACAATTTATAATAATTGATGAGAATAAATATTCTCATTATTATTATTAATTCAGTCAAACAGGCCCATATAATTAGTCTTTTCCCTGCCCTACCGATAGTACCGTCCATCTGGCAACGTCACCCCTTTCCCAATACCTTACCACACGAGGGAGAGGGAGATGCTCGTCGAAGATATTTCTCCAACGTTTTAAGGGCACATGTACCTACGAGGGTATCTATGATGTGTGAAATGCTTCTAATAAGTGCGTATAATTATCCTGGTTGAAAGCGTATAAATATAATACCGCCAAGAAATTGAGATATACACTCTTCCACCCCAACCTTCAACTTTCAATTTATACCGCGGAACTTGGAGAAGCTTTATTTATCGATTGTATTCAATAAAGATTCTCAAGGAAATGGGATTAAATAGATTTATTAAAAGGTCTATACGTTATATTTGTCTGAGTTTGACCCATGGACCTTCAGACTTCGTTTCCTGTATTTACATATATCTAACGGCGCTCCATTTACACATTTCCTACTTTAAGGTGTTGGATGAGTCTCTTATTATGTAATGCACCAATGGAAAAAAAGCAATTGCACCATACTCGACGCATGGACACAAATGTCTAGATATATTTATCAAGAGTTTCTGGATGTCCGAGTTCGTTTAGTAGAAAATTTATCTAGAATACGAGTACTATTATTCTTCCGAATTTCTTGTACTGTTCGACTAACTATATTTAGCTAATAATTCCATTATCAAATATTGCAAATTTTAAAAAGTAAGTGCATGAGAATAATACTAAATAAAGATAAATATACTCCAATTAGACACATGCTTAGCAAATTAAAATGCCTCAATGTTAAAATTTTTATTTTATAATCCAGCATATGGCTTGAATTTACTAATTTTAAGTTGTTTATAATTATTTTGTTGATGTAGACAAACGCGCTAAATAAATTTTTATAATATTACTACTACTTTGAAAATGACAGTGTCCTGCTGTACAAAATTCTGTTTGATGAATTCTTGGAAGACATAAATAAAATTACCGAGTCCATATTCTTCAACAAACATCGAGTAAATATTCAATTTACTTGACTACCATGCGAAAAAACCTGCTCCTCAAGCCAGCCCTGTTAACAGGGAGGTCTCGTGCCATCTACTGGGCAATGGGACGACTACTTCTAGCCTTGCCAGCGTCACCCCGGCGCAGCGTGGTCGGGTAATCGTACCACCGTCCAGTAGAGTGCGCGACATCTCCCTGTCAACAGTAACAGAGCTGGTTTGAGTAATATTTTGTTCGCACGGTAGAAGTAGACATTTACTTGCTCAATTATATAAGAAAAAGAATAACATAGAATGGAGGAGATGTATGGACAATAGGAAACATACAGTAACAGTGTTTTTGGACTTCAAAATGGCGTTTGAAACTATTGACAGGGATAAATTACTTACAAAATTGCATCACCTCGGGTTTAAAGGATCTGTAATCAAAATTCTACAAAGCGATTAAATTGACAGAAGTCAAAAAACAAAAAAATTGGATCTACATTATCAAGATAAAAAAATATCTCTATTGGTATACCACAACGTAGTAAACTAGGTCCACTTCTATTTATTTTATACATTGACATTTGTACAATTTTAGATTATTGTAAAATTCAGATATTTGCTGATGATACATTAATATACATATCAGATGAAAATATAGACACTGCTTTAAAAATTCTAAATTCCGACTTGGTAAAAATCATAAAATGGTTAAATGTAAATAAACACAAATTGAATACTTCTAAAACAAAATGTATGCTAATAGAGAAATACCCAAATGAAAATACTATCACAGAATAAATGCTGAAATAATTGAAAATGTTGAATCGATTAAATATTTAGGTATATATTGATAGTTTGAGGATCACTATCAATACATTATTTCAAAAATTGACAAAAAAAACAAATTACTTTTATACTGCTTCTCATCGTGTTGGTACATATTCCAAAAAAATATTTTATAATACAATATTCTACCACATTTACTACATTGTTCAACTATCTTGTTCACTGCCAATAAAGCTGTATTCTCAAAATTACAAGTCCTGCAAATAAAGCCATCAGAATAATATTGAATAAAAATAAGTACATCAAAATAAAATCTATGTTACAAGAATTGCAGTGGTTGAATATTAAAAATTCCATATCATATTTGGTTCTTATTTTTATATTTAAAATAAAAAATCATCTTTTGCTACAACATTTAGAACACTCTACATAGAATTGAATAATCATTACATCAATTATTATACAACAGGAAATACAGGTTTTCATTTACAAAATTGCAATAGTAATATAACTAGCAAATTAATATTTCAGAAAGTATTACTTGAATTTAATAAACTAAATAATGATATAAACTCTACTTGTAATTTAAAGATCTTTAAAAGAAAATTAAAGGAATACTTCATGGACAGTGAACATTCTTAGAGATGCAAATTTCGTTTTTTTCTAAATATCTGTATGTTATGTAATTGTTTAATTTTTTAGAAGAATGTCATTGTAGCAATCATGCTAACTAAATCGTAAACAAACAAACAAACAAATACATCTTTCAATCCACAGAAGGACAATTCCTGTACATGGATTAGTTGTATGTTGGAATGATTTCCAAATTAAAAAAAGAGTTAAAAGAAACTTGAAGAAATATTTCATAGGAAGTCCATAATATGTCGTTTTCCTATTGAGCGTATCCATTTTGATAATTCAGTTTCAAAATTATGTGTATCTCAATTTCTTTTCAAGTCTTTGGGTACGTGTTCATAGTTTTGGAGCCAAATAGAGTAAAGATCGCTTTATTATGGTCTTATGAGGCTTAGGGACAGTTTTTGTTCATAATTTATATCGAGTATCATGGCAATGTGTGATACTATCGTGCTCACTGACAACTTTGAGATAGTGGCTGATAGTATGTAAAAAATAAGGTCGCTTAATATCAAATAATCTTGTTGCCTTGTATAAATCATATGATCAATATAATTTTGGTTTTCGGAGCATAGATTCTAAAACAGTTTGAGAGACATTTAACAAGGAATCGATCAAATTCGTTAGATCCATCACTACGAAGACGCCTTCTCATTGGTCCAATTTCTGTCAAAGGCGCCAATTTTGATTCCCGCGGGTCAATAGCTGTATTAAAATTTTATAACAACAAAATCGAGGATTTTGATAAAAAAATCAACCTTGAAATTCATATTCCACTGACTCAAACGACGATTTTGACATAGTTGTCTCTAGATTTCTCTTAATCGCACAATCAAATCTTCGTTCTTTTCAGTTACTACAGTCGGGTTGTTTGTATTATTAAAAATGTACTTGCTCTCCGTATTATAGACCAATACTAGCACTCCAAAGGTCATTGTACTGGAGCAGTTGTACTAGATAATGTTACAAAATCTGCGCCTAATAAGGCAGTATAACCTACCGTGTAACAGACAGGTTTACCAAGTATGACATATCCAAAATCAAGAATATATGAGGGGGGCACAAACCGAGGAATGCCATGAATCTTCCTGGTGACCACATGCTCGTGCAAAATATCTATAGTATTTGATAACCTCTGGTTGAGCAGGTCTCGTTCTATTACTAGCTCGATATCGGCTTCTGACGGGTAAACATCCTGGAATTTGAAAGTTTTGAAATAGCCTGAGCCGTAACGTAACGGCTTACGCGTTGACTGGTCGGACAGGCTTAAAAAGCCCAGAAATCACTTCAAGATCTGGGATAAATCCTAACAAAAGCATATTAACTTCTTCTCTAATCATATTATTTTAAAACTCATGTCGATCAATAACTTCTACTTCGGTGAATTCTGGGTTCCGTAATGCGTAGGGACGTGGTTGCTGGTGATTGACCCCATTGCGACTTTTGATTGCCATTTTGAACTACCTTTATGCAGAATTTCAACAAATTTAGTCGAAAGCTATTATCCAAAAGAAAATTGCGGGGCTCTTTAGCACGCAAGGATACTGTGGGACCATGGAATCGAGTATGACCATCAGAGAGTATAGACATTTTTATTTTTCCAAAAAAATTGAAAGGATAGTAGGACAAATTAATGATTAAAAAAATGGAGTCAAGTAGATTGACACTACACTTCCTATGCCTTCGTTGGAGGTTTCAAAGGAAAGGTTTCAAAAGGCAAAATCGAATCGTGATTAGAGATTAGAGAAAATATGTGTGGCTTATTATGTCTGACTTGTACATAGTATCTCTGAAATCAGCAGCTTCTTAATAATAGGAGGTCTTTCGCTGACACCAAATATGAAACAGTTTACAACCATTTACCGCATACAACTTCCAACCTACAATTTTTATCCTTTCCAAACAGTATCTAAAAATTAGCAGGAATCTCTGGAACGATGTAACACTATCTTCCAGCGATTTTATTTCCTTTTGCATGTGATTCCGTCGCCTCTGAATCAGTTTTCAAAATTTAGCTTTACAGAAACGATGGAAGTACTAAACTTGCGCTAATATTCACCAGTTCACATACTTTCTGTTGATTGAAGATATCCGCATCAGATAAGTCCGTGTTTCTCATATAGGTCGGTTTGTCAGTCCGCCTCTGTTGTATATCAATGCGTCATAAGTACTGAGTCAATCTACTTGACAAAATATTCAGAGAACCATCATAGTCGGAGTAACACAAATTAAAGGTTGGGCGAAATCGGTGGTACATTCAAGGATCATGAAATTTAGAGAAAAATATGTGTAGATATAAAAATAGTGAAGTCATCATTTGGAGTTACCCACTGCACGTTCGGCATTGGCCGTGCAGTATCTCGTTATTTCGAATTATGAGCACTTTTTCCCGTTGTTACCGAGATCAGAAGCTTCTTAATCACGTCTTTGGCTAATACGCGTCTGGAGTGAGCAATGCTAGTGAGCATCTCAAACTGCTTTTGGGCCATTCAGCGATATCCTAGATCTCCTGAAAACTTATTAAACCTGACAACATCCGATTTTACTTACACTCTCCGTGACGATCACCCACTCTTTCGCCATTTGCTGAAAAATCGCCGTGTTTATTCCGTCAGCCTCATGGTGTGCATAGAGTGGAGAATGCCGAGGCAGATTGGTAGTTTTGACAGTCTGCGATCTCAAATAGTCATGAGTCAAGCCCGCAATGGCCAGGTATTGCGCTACAGGTGGTATATCGAAGATGGCCGGTCTCAGAAGGCTCATCATGATTTGAGCCGGGGCGCTGTAACCGTGCAGGAAGACTTCGAACGGTTCGAGGTAGCCGATCTGAAAGTGAAAAATGTTAGCAACTTCTTATTTGCTTTTAGTGGGATTTCCAAAAATCAGCATATTTTCACGGTAACTGTTCGAAATAGTACTTTTTTGAAGTCTAAAGTATAAAGATTGACATGGGTGTAAGCCCGCCCTTATGATTGCTCAGAACTGTAACTAATATTTCTAAATCACGAATGATGATTGTTAACAAAAGCACTCGCTAGCTAAAAGCCGATACATGTGGACACTGTGATCATTGGTTCTTTGGACCTGACGATAGAAGTGACAACGCACTAAAGATAGATAACCTGATTTCAAGTTTCTTAGATATCCGTCTTACTGATCATTCGAATCGATTGATGTTTGATCCCATTTATAATTATTACATTCACGATCCAACTGTCTTGGGCTAGAAAAAGCATTATTGTGAATTGAAAATAATAAGTGTAGGCAATAGAACCAAGGAGGCATGGAAAGTCATAAATGAATTAAGAGGCAAACCTCCTACTTCTACTAACATACCACCTATAAATTCTCACGTAGTAAATGGTTATTACTGCACTGATGACGCGTTAAAGAATCTAAATCATATAAATGTACATCAGAAATCCTCACTTTATCCTACGGAGATTTATGAACTGCAATTAGTGCAGGGTGGAACATATATAACTGACTGATTTAAATTGCGCGCTGTTTTTGATACACGCATTTCAGTAGGTGGCGCCGAAGTGGTTGTTTAAAGCACATGTGTCCAATTCATCATGAAGTGCTACACGATCTCACAATGCGTCCGTATTGTAAAAACGTTTTACTTGAATAATGAGTCGATTGTTGCAACGATTCGGAAGTTACGACAAGATTTAATGTGCCCAGTGTCAACACCATTAGTCAGTTGGTGCGGAGATTTGATAAACAGATGAAGTTAAAGACTTGCCAAGGTCGGGCCGTGTTCGAACTGTTCGTACTCCGGAAAATATCGAGAGAATTCGTGAAAGTGTAGTGGAGCGCCCTGAGACGTCTACCAGGCATCGTTCTCAAGAACTGGGTATTCGTCGCACTTCATTATGCACTATTTTAAATAAAGACTTGCATTTGTGGCCATACAAAATTCAGTTAACCCAACAACTACAGCCTAGTGACCATGAAAGTCGCAGACAATACAGTCATGCAATAATGCAGTTTAATATACAAACTCACGATTTTTACCGACAACTGATAAAATGATAAGAAGAATTGTTAAATAATTGTTAAATAAATATTCCTCCCAAAACCTACCAAAAAGTGATGGAAAATGTAATCAAGATTATTATTATTATTATTATTATCATTATTTTTCCTACATAAGTTTCAATAAAAGATTAAGATGAAAAAAAAAGAACGTATTTTATTTCACTTCAGAAATATTCGGGATACAAACCAGTCAGTTACATATCAGCCACCCTAATAGGATCTGTCGAAAATAAAATCATCAGGTATTGATCAAATTTCTTTAAATGTTATAGTTAATTTTCCAGTGTATACTCTGGATACGCCCACAAAAATTCCTCTTAATTAAAGTGTTTAACCAGGTTTTTAAATACATCCATAGTAATTCCCATTCATAAAGGAGGCCCAATTGATATACCAGAAAATTAAAGACTCATAAGTTTAATCGCATTTACAGCAAAAATAATATAAAAAATAGTTCATATTAGATTAAAAGACTTTCTAAAAATCAAAAAAATTATAAGCCACCAGTAACTTGGCTTTCAAAAACAAAAAATTCCATGGCTGCTATTTTCACATTACTCCAAGAGTTATACTCAAATTTAAACGATAAACAAATTTCAATTGCTTTTTGTAACTTTTTCGAAGCTTTTGATTGTGTAAATCATGATTTGTTATTGGATTATTAAACAAATATGATTGTACGAGTACTAGAACTTCACTCAATTGATTTAAAATTTATTCAAATAATCGATTCCAAATTGTAAGAGTATCAAGATATACATACTTCAAATGAATTAAATATAAAAACTGGGTTATCTCAAGAATCAGTACTAGGTCCGATCCTATTTTAAGTTTATATTAACAATAAATTTAAACCATAAATGGTATATTCATGATGTGATATGATGATGATGATGTGATAACAATTACTCAACTTTCAATGTTAGTAAGACCAAATTCATTTAAATACTCCCTTGATTCTATAAATTTAAGTTATGATTTGATACACTAAATAGACTCCATCAAATTTTTAATACTGACCATTGAACATAAATTGAATTTTACTAATCATGTAGATCAATTTTTTACTCAACTATCAAAGTTTCTTTATTATAAGAACACTCAGGGAAAAGCAGTTACTTTGCCTTATTTGAAATTAGAATGACATAAATATAGCATTCCCTTTTATTGTTTCTATTTCCAAAATTGTTTAATAAAGTGATTATTCTACAAAAACGAACTATTAGATATATAACTAAAGACAATCCTAGAGCTACGCAGGATGTTATTTTTAAATCTCAAAATACTATCTGCCGTATCCTTGTTAATTTTTGAAACATCAACTCTTATTTTTAAAAATAAATCTAAATTTGAGACATCAAATATACGTTAACGATTTATAATGGTCGGAAAATGTACGTGTGCCTTCCGGATGATATCAAAAGAATCAACAATTTTAAGATATTTCGCCGTAAACTTATAAACTTCCTTATTTATAAACCATATTATACCATGTGTGAATGAATGAATGAATCATGAAATTAGAGGCATACCGGCCACCATAAGGAGCCAGCGCATAGGCCACTTAGACGGGCCCTTGTGCACCTCTACATTCCTTAGACCTCAAGCCTTGCCATTCTAGCGAAGTTGAGTATGGCCTTGAGTCCAAGCTCCTTCACGTCCTGGGGGTCCAACATAATGGGCCCCAGTATAGTCTGCCTGTAGTAGCTAAGAGACTAACAGCGACACAGAACGTGCGCCGAGGTCTCTTGTTCTACCCCGCAGCTCACACAAGGGATCCTCAGCCCGCCCCATCACGTGGAGGTGGCGCCTTAACGTGTTGTAGCTAGACGACAATCCCACCAACAACCTTAGGTTGGCTCTATCCAAAGATAAGCAGAAACGTCCATCCTTAGCACTTGGCCCTACAATGAGTTCCCGCGCCTGACGGAGATGTCTGGAGATGCTTCTCCATTTCTGAGAGTGTTGTCTTGTCACTTCTCCATTTTCCTCCTAACTTTTTGAGCGGGCATCCCTAGAGCTGGCTCAGGGCCAACGAGCTTGCTGGCTGATCCTGTTTTCGCCAGAGCGTCCGCCGTCTCATTGCCCTTTATCTCAGCGTGCCCCGGTACCCACATTAACGATACCGGATGACTCGCTGCTAGACAATCCAGGCACTTAGTTTCTTCATTGCAGCCTGGCTATCGGAGAAGATTGTTATTCTTCCCTTTCCCCCCTCCAAAATATGAGGGATACACAAGCCAGAATCGCAAAGATTTCCGCCTGGAAAATGGTGAGGTATCCACCAAGAGGTAAAGTTACCCTAGTTCTAGATCCAGAGACTCCGGTGCCGGAGCCCTCTTCGGTGACCGAGGCATCCGTATACCAGACCTGACTACTCAATCCGGAGAGCCTCCATATACCATGTGTGAGCTCAACAATTCATTTACCTGATATCAACGTAAGTAATTCTCTTTAGTTCGAAGTTGGCTTTGTCCGTCCTTAAGAATAATTGTATTCTTCAGACAATAAAGCACATATATCTATCTATAAAATACGTCATCGAAAAAAGGCTATAAAACTCATTTGGTACCACTTAATCTATTTTTTAAGCATTGGTAACTTTAAATACGATTTTGTTTTTAAGTCGTACCAAACATTCCAACATTTATGTTCCTACTTAGCTGAATGGCAGAAATAATTCAGCATTATTCGTGGTTACTATCCAACAAATACAACGTTTAAAGGACATTAGGCACAATCCGTCTGGTAGTGGAATTTTACGTGCACAGACAAAATTTGTGTTAAACTATTTAGTTGAATCCCATCTCTCGTTTTATCTAGATATTTTCTCAAAGAACAATGGGAGTAAAATGCAGGGTGTTGTGGAACATAATGTATTGTTATTGGACAAATAATGCTTGCCAAATAATTATTAGCATATCACTATATGCTGCATCGAGAAGCTTATCAAAAGTATTTAATATTATACAAGGTATTTCATTGTTCATGGGTACAAAGTTTCATTATTTTCAAAAATAATAATCTAAAAAAACAATACTCATATACTACTATGCTATTATTTTTACTATATTTTGATATATCACACCATAGGGCTGTCACGATTATTTGTATTTTCTAAAAAAATCTCGACATTGAAAATATTCATTATCAGAAGACAGAAGTTTGGAACAATTTTTGAGAACCTGGATAGATGGATGAAATAAGATGGAATTTTAAAACAAAATGTCTCTAGTTTACTCTGCATGAACGCAGTCATGGGATACAGAAGTAACAGGATGTTCCATCGCAGAGTTGTGTACCAAGTTCAAACAGCCTAAACATTATTGGCAGAAAGTTCTTCCTTATAATAAACTATCATTTTCCTTTTTTCGAAAGGCTTATGTGCAGTAATTATGCTGCTTTCTCGAGAAAGGTTTCTAATGCACCTGTAACTATCGTCTCCCATGTCCCAAAATAATGCCCTCCACACACGATAAACTAAAGACATATAGTAAGTCTACAAATTCCACCACACTTCATTCTGCACGCCGTAGAAAAACACAGAATATAAAGCATACCATCCAAAAATATATTTCGTTGGTATCCAGCTCAACAATGTAACACCCTATACATTTTTGAATATTGCTGCAAATGTTTGGGTGCCGCTGGTTAGCAGAAACCCTGTAACTTTTGTCATGATAAACTACAGGCATAAGTCTACAAATCCTACAACGTTTCACGCACGCCGTGGATAAAATTAATATGCATTCTGCCCAGTGCACTTTTTGCATTGATCCCGTTCTCACCTCCATTTTAAAGGATTCCTTAAATTCTCCTGTGAATCCAGGGAAGTACCTGATATGCAACACAACCTCTTCATCGGTACCCAATTCACCACCTCTCGGTGACACGCACAACCAACCAGCATTCGGTACTGTGTCCGGCGTGTAGTCATCGTCGCATTTTATGTGGTACTTGAAGCTACCGTAACCGGGATTGGCTAAGGTGATAGTTTCTTCGCATATTTCACAGCATAGCTAAAACAAGGTATCGCTAATTCTCCATCTTTTTTCCGGCTGGTAAATGAAACCTCATAATACGTATGTCCGTGTCGTTTACCAGTATTTACTCTATTTCGGTGGCCTTTTTCAAGGAAAGAGGGACAGTGACAGTGTTTCATACAGAGCGTTCTCAAAATTGGGATTTTCCTTTACAGAGCGCATAGTTGAAGCAATATTAAGCATGTTTTCTTAGTAAGGCATACACCAAAGCCCTAAGATAACCGATATACAGTGGAATCCACTTATAATGAACTTGCTTATAACGGAAACCCGTATATAATTAACACAATTTAAGGTCCTATAAATAATTGCATGTAAAATCCTCGGATATTATAGACTCGCTTAAAATAGACCCTCGCTTATAGCGGACTATGTTAATCCATTATATGCGAGCTATTTTGGTAGTTCTCCGAAGCAGATTTAGCTGATGCAATCGTTTACAGCGGTTTGGCTTCGCAGTTTGCATTCGAACTGGGCCACCAGTGTTATACTGTATTTATTAGAGTTATGAACATGTCGAAAAGTGAGAAACGTGCATTCACTTTAAACAAAGAGTTCACAACTACTAGTGAGCTTGAGCAGGGTTCATCCCAAGCAAATATATGTGCTCGTATGGCTATAAAAAAATCCACTGTGTCAAATATTTGGAAAAACCGTGACAAAAATGACTGTAAATCAAATAGTCAAAAGAAAAAAATGCGGCTGTTGCTGCATCCCCAAGTCGTTGATACGCTGTTTAAGGCCCGTATCGTTAGTCGTCTCTACAATGGTAGGGCGCGTTTATGGCCTCCTTGATTGTCATAGTTTTCTACTTCTCCGTGTCAGAGCTCTATTTTGAGGTTATGTCACAAACATCTATTTGCATCAAATTGTGCTTGCTTTTGAGTTATATCATGTTTTATCAGCCTGAAATTTCCTACAATTTAAAATGAAAACATATCTTAACATTAGGAGAGCGCTGACGCTGACACGGGACGAGTGTAATCTAGAAATGTCTGAAGGAGAGAAAAGAGTATGACAATCAAGGAAGCCATAAACGCACCCTACAATTGTAGGGACCACTGACGATACGGGCCTAAATGATTTCAACAAAAGCGTGCTAATAATTTTCCAATAAGGGGACCTATGCTACAAATAAAGACTGAAGAATTTAGGAAATTGATTTGAGATTACTTCAAATGTAGTTCCAGTTGCCTAGACAGGTTTAAGAAAAGACATCGTTTTTGGAAAAATGTGTGGTAAATCAGCTTCAGTTGACAAGAACGTTACCAATGACGGATTTCTCAAGTTTGGCCCGTAATTTCCAGTGATTATTCAGATGATAGCATAATCAATGCAGATGAAACCGGGATATTTTACAGAATGCTACCAGATAAAATTCATAAATTAAAAGGTGGAACTTGCAACGGAGGAAAAAAGAGCGAATAACTGTTATGATTTGTGCTTATGCTTCTGGTACTGAAAAACGGAAACTATTGATAATAGGTAAGTGAATGAATAGAAATTCATGTTCTAATTTTTTTGATACCTATTAAATGGCAGTGCTGCAAATAATTTAAGACCTTTTTTTTATTTCGCGTCGATTATATTTGAAATAATAAAGCAATTTTTGAAGAATATTTAAAAAAGTGGGACGCTGGACTTGTTAAGAAAAATCGTAAAATTTTGCTCTTGGTCGATAACTGCCCCGCTCATTCAAATATCTCACTTAATAACATCAACCTTCAATTTTTTCCACCCAATGTGACATCGTTTCTGCAACGAATGGTCCAGGGTGTCATTTGGAGTCTTAAACAAATGTATCGGAAACATGTGTTGATGAAAATTATGGAGCTTCAAGAAGTTGTCAACATTACCAAAGCTGCTAGATGCTATAAATTTGCTTACTATTGCATGGGAATTTGTTAATCCAGAAACGATTCGTTATTGTTTTCGCCACGCTGGTTTAGTGAAAACAACTGAAATAGTTAACGATTTTAATCCAGAAGATGAAATTCCATATTATGATTCACTGAAAATTAATAGTTTAGTGAATATAGACAAATTTAATGAGTATGTAAATGTTGACAATAATTTAATAGCAACACAGGAATTGTCAGACTCCATTTTGGTTAATGAAGGATCCGTTGATAACGAACAGGAAGACGAACTAGAAAACAACGATGAAGAAGAGCTTCCAGTGACAACTAAGGAGGCATTTGACTGCGTGAAAAAGTTGCATCGTTATTTTTAGCAAAAAGAAGACACACAGCCACACTTACCAAATTAAATAAAATTCAACTTGCTGTTCTAAATAACTATACAAAAAAATAATCTGTTCAAATGAAAATTACTAGCTTTTTTGACAAATAATTTACGGTTTTTACACATACCTACACAGTACGTATGCCTGTAATATGTGTATCAGATTCTGAAAAAATGCAAATTACAAAATTACCTATAACTTTTTTGTATGTATCTTTATTTATGTAACACATGTTAAACAAACACATTTTAAGCTTTCAATCTGTTACTTTTGCTGCTTTTTTCATTGAAAAAAAGTTTCTTTTAAGATGGTCGTTCGCCTATAATACACTATTTGACACCGTGTCCATTATAAGCGGGTTGCACTGTATTAAGTTCCGAAACACTCTAGATAAGCCATTCCCTTCCTACCTCTCTCGCGTCCTACGTCAAATGGTATGATATGTTGTGGTACTATGGTTATGTGAGTCAGCATCCAAATCAGGCTCCGCGTGGTGTGTAGGTTAAACTACTTTATAAACGGCATTTGAACTAATGTGGCAAAGGACCTGGCAACACCTATGGTAAAAGTGGTTTCGGTTAAATTTTCTGGATTTTTTATATGTTATGCGCCTTAGCCTAGTTAGCAAATATTTCTATTCGGTCAGGCCCCCAGACTCAACGGGTTATGTGTGTTTCGGCGGCCTGAACAAATGCTTCAATGGGCGCAGTCCCCAAAACACAACGGGTCCCCAGATATAGGCTGTCGAAGTCTGTATAATGGGGTGTCAGTTGTACTCAGCTATCTGCCCTGACTTGGACAGCCTATATCTTGGCACCCGTTGAGTTTTGGGGGCTATGCTCATGCCAAAAAACATAACCTTTAAGAAATTCGGCAAAATTAACCGAAACCACTCTTCAACTCAAAGAATCTAATAGAACCGATACCTCATAATACTTAGACGACCTATGTTTCGTAAACCGTTGCGTTTCAAGGTTTGCGCCCTTTGAGACATTTGCTTAGGATGCCAAACACGTGAGATTGCAGCGATTCAGTCATATTAATCGACACAACTCTTCTAGATATGACAGATAGCGACCGACACCCCATTACACTGACTTGGACGGCCTATATCTTGGGACCGTTGTGATTTATGGCATGTGCCCTTGGGGTCATTTGATAAGGAACCCAAGTCGCATAGCATAAAAAATCCAGTGAAATTAACCGGAACCGCTTTTCCCATAGGCCTGCTACCGGGTCCTTTGTGCTTTCTGCTCTTACAAACCCAACGTCCGTGATTGTTTTTTTTTACAATAAAACGAGAAAACGATAACTTCTTTCGTTAATTAAGAGTTTTTTACAAAAAATTAAACGAGACAACGTTCATCCACGAGTGACATGGATGTCGTTTCTTTGCTTACAATTTGTAAGACGTCACATCATGACCGATAGTGTTTCTTCATTTTATATTATAAATGAATATATTTTTTCTAAATTGGACTTATACGCTGTGTTCAAACGAATATAGAAAGTAGTTTTATGGGTAAACTGGAAAATATATCAAAAATATGATAACGTGGCAACCTTGATATGTTACTAGGGCATATTTCAAAGTTATGCTAATATATACAGGGTATTCCATATCTTCGTTCCTTAGTAAACATATATTTTTTTAAAGAATACACCATTATATTTTATTGTGTACTTCAGTTGACTAGAAACAAGAAATTTGATATCATATAACCTATGGCTTCGATTGTCGATTGTTTAGATATTTGGTCAAAAGTGTGAAAAAATGTCCAGCTTTAATGGCTCGCAGCTCGCAGATGTTTAGGTAAATCTTAGTTTACAAAAATTTTATTATCATCGATTTCAAAATATACCTTCTCAAAAATTTCAAATGGAATTCCCCGTATATATCTAAATCGTTAAATAGTTTATTTGATGTTTTTTGATATCAAGTTTATACAACCTTTTTTCAAACGTTTTTGAGTTGTTGCTAATGATTTAAAAAAACAAATACTCAATATACAGACAATAATCTTGTCGTGAAGTCAAATATTCTGTCAAAACAATGGCTTTTATCAACACAACAAAAATAATCTCATAATAAGGCAATGAATCGTCAATAAATTGTCTAAAATATTACCTTGGTGCAAAGCACACTAAAGCAGCCACCTGTTGAAATTAAATTGCACGTCTAAAAGGGTTTGTGTAGGTATCCGCTTAAACTACTCGCTTGTACGACGTTTCATATCCTCGGGTGTTACAGGTTTCTCCTGGTAAACCTCCTCTTTTTCATGGCCCCAGAGAAGGAAGTCGAGTGGCGTAGAAAAATACAGGGTGCTCCATGTGAAATTTATGAGAAAATGTACATTTTGCATTTTGAAATACACATTATAAGTAGATAAATATTTTAGAATTTCTTTCAGATCAGCTAAAAATCGATAATAATAAAATTTTTGTGAATTAATATTCATCTATATATCTTCCAAAAAGACTGAGTTGTGAGCCGTCAAACGTGGGCATTTTTCAGACATTTCACTAAATTGCTAAATAGTTGACGATCCAAACCACATGTTATATGATATCAAACTTATATGCAATAAAATATAGAGTATTCTATTTAAAAAAAAAGTCACAAAGCTATGGAACACCGTGTATATATTAAAATTTTAAAATATGCACTATTTAACTTATCAAGTTTGCTACGAAAACAGATGTTTGATATAATATCCAGTTTGCTCATAAAACTTGCTCTTTTAAAAATTGAATTCGATACATTTCGTTTTCCTAATAGTCCACAGTTAAATAGCTGAAACTGTCGCAAAAGTGATAACATAGCCACAAAATTATGTCCGCTGGCGTAATGATGTAATAAAGCTTGCGAATATTGTCGTAAGAGTTTGGTTTTCCGGAAACAAGCTGTTTTTTATAAAAGAGCGAAAAATCCAAAAACCCTCTTTTTCGCTGAAACGTCTGAGGATAACTGGGATTTTATTACACGTATCTTTTTCTAATTTTTGGGCCATGAAAAAAGGTCTGGAAATTTTTGCTGAATTGCTTAGTTTTCGCGCTACAGCTTGCTGATAGCTTGTTGGCGGGGGGCTTGCGGGGATAAGGGCAGGCGTAGACATATTACCAGCCGCCGCACCGTTGACGCGGACGATCCTCTTTTACTATTTCGACGTCCTCAGTGTCTCACTCTCAGTGATAGGCCAGTCGATTTCGAATAATAGGCTCGTTTGTACTTAATGAATTTTTGAAGTTTATGCGTTTAAGTACTACAAGATGCAGTAATGTCTTTAGCCGCTTATCGATTGACTGGACAAGTGAGTATTTTCATTTAGAATTGGAACAACAACAAAAAACCTAGAGCTGCAAAAGAGATGTGAACGTGTATATAAATGAGTGGCAATGATAATAATCATTACAGAATGTAGAAGCCCAATGAGTCATCAAAAGACTCGTTTTCGAGGCTCCACGTTATTTTCATAATCATCCTCGCAAATCAGTTTGATCACCGATAGCTCTTGATCTACGTCCATGATAAGAGATTTAGCGGTTCTTGAGCCGCGTCTATACGTTGGGCTAACATACGTCAACGCAAATATGTGAAGAATAGATAATGGCCGATCGTGATAAGCAGTTGACGATGTCTCTAAACACTCGCTGTAGAAACGTCGGTGAACGCCAAACTGACAAGCGAGTTCAGGGTTCGAAATTTAGCTGGACTATTACTGAATAACCCCCACCATGTTAGTAAGAGATCGTTCGCGATTTTTTGCCAAAGTGGCGATTCAGCGAGTTCAAATGGCGACTTAAATGGATAGCTTGACGATTCGCTACTTTAGTGGCGCCCAGTATCTAGCAAATTGGCGATATCTGGCAATTTTTAGCATTCCTGACGCCACTTAGTTTGTAATCCATTTTGGTCGATATAATAATAATAATAATAAATCGTCTTTATTTAGGGGGCGAAATTCAGCATAATGCTACTCTGCCACTTAACCCCCCCACCAAAAAAAAAAGAAAAACTAAAAAACAATACAAAAAACATAAATACATTTGATAGGTTACAAGTTAAAAAATGTAGGTGTATAAAAAATATGATGTATATAACATATATAAGTGAAGGCTATTCAATATTTCTTGAGTTAAAATTATAAAATTGTAACAGTTATACAAACAAAGGAATGCTATATTTTAAATATTTTTGTGTGAGGTGACAGATAAATTTTATCTACTAGTTTATATACTATACAGGGTGACTTCGAAGTTGAGTCATTTATTTAAACAGTGAGTAGATCTGAACAAAAGAAATGTTTTTTCCCTTTAACATTTTTGTGGTAAAATTAAAGTAACAAAGTTATAGCCCTTTAGAAGTTTGAGTACCGCCCTGTCTCAATAATAATAATATGTGCTCGTGTTTGGCAACAACGGATATAATCCACCTTATCGGTTCATCAGATCGGAAACAAAAAAGCAAAAGAATTTGAAACGCTTATCACGATGTTTTTACTGCAATTTTATTCAGTTGTATTCAGTCAATGTGTCAGTCGGTAACGCGTGAGTGAATAGTGGTGTTTGTTGCGTGGCTCAAACGAAATAAAAAATGGCACATGTTTACGAAAATGGACATGATTCTTATTTACGTGGGGGAGTCTGTACAAAATGCTGCCGCGGCATCACGGATTTATGCGGATCGGTTTGCCAATCAAATGCAACCAACCCCTCGTGCCTTTGTTAATGTAGTACAAAGGGCTCGTGAATCAGGTGACTTAAGACCTCACAGGGGAGGGCAAGCCGGTGCCCCAAGACCGCACGATCAAATACAGGTCCGCACTGAAATACTTGTCGGGAGGATACTTTATAAAACAAGGTAACATTTTTTATTTTTATTTTTACACACATATTTTGGTTTATCTTCCTTCTACAATCATTATCTGAAAATTAATGACTCAACTTCAAAGTCACCCTGTATATACCCTATATATATATATATATATATATATATATATATATATATATATATATATATATATATAAGTTATAGGGCTAGAAGCTAGAAAATAGAAAATGCAAGTCAGCACATCATCGCAGCGCCTAGCAACCGTTGAAATGCAACATGATATGTTTCCTGTTTTACTCATGCTAACGAACATTGTACTTGTATAATTAAAATTTAGTCTTAATCTAACTTTCGTACCATCCACTACTGTATTTTCGGAAATAAATATTTTTAAAAAGGCACTTACGTTATCCCGAAATATTAGTTATATACATATATACATAGGTATTCAAAATAAATTTCTTCATGTCGTTTACATTCATCTGATAACAATTTTGTGGATCGAGGTATAGCATTGTAAAAAATAATTGTATAGATTAATGAAACATGAAATGAGGACCAGCACAATAGATCCGTCCCCTGTGAATGAACTTATAGTTTCGTTCAGATTACACGTGTCCCCTCCTCCCACCAATTCATTCCAATTTCTAACCTGTCGTCTTATGATTGACTAAGTTATTTCAAAGATTTCCGATTTCTGGAGATTTGCTCATCAAACTTTGCGAACAACGTGACTGAAAACCTGTCAACCCTGGTGGACGGTGCGGCGGCAGTTTGGTGGTATGCAGGAATGCAGGTACGCCCGCCCCTGCCCCGCAAACCCCTCTCCATCAAACTATCAGCAAGCTGTAGCGCGCAAACAACACATTTTAGCAAAAAAATTGATGGTCAAAAATTAGAAAAATTTAGGTTTAAAAAAATCCCAGATATCCTCAGCCGTTTCAGCGAAAAAGAGGTTTTATGGGTTTCTCGCTGTTTTCATACAATATTCGCAAGCCTTTATTACACCATTACCTCAGCGGAAATAAATTTGTGGCTATGTTATCACTTTTGCGGCAGTTTCGGCTATTTAAATGGATTATAAGCCAAATGCAGTAAGAAAGACTCAGTTATTCTATGAAATTAGGTATGATTCAAGTAGCCTGCTGTATAAAATGAAGGTTGAGCGATATTTCTCTTTTTTGTCTCTTGCTCCTAGCTACGCCACCACTGCACCGATCTCCAAATACTAAGTACTTTCGCCATCTGCTTATTAATAAACTTGTGTGAGAATTTCATCAAAATCTGTGCGGTACTTTCCAAGTTTTGACGGGCCAATGATTATTTAGCAGACAGAAAGACAGACCGACGTGACGTGTGGAGTAAAAATAGATACCTTTCTTCCAAACTCGATATTCCTCTTATCCATTGTATACATGATCTTGGACGAAGTCGCCTTGACAATAACCTGCTCTTCCTCGCCATGTTCAATATTACATACGGCCGTAGCTTCAAATTTGACATCCGAGGGCAAACACAGCCCTACCATTATGGTCATATATTCGTAGGGAGCAAGGAGACCTTTAACTGGCTCTATGGTCAGGATGTTTCTCAAGGACCATGGGTCGGATATTGATGGCTCTTCAGGAAGGACTTCGGCAAAGCTGAAATCGGCGTCCTCTGACCTAGATAGTAGGTTGGAAAATATTTTTTGATTAGTTCTGTCTGATAGCACTTGCCAGCTGGTGTTTGTTTTAGTTAGTATTATTATGATTATTATTATGATTATTAGTATTATTATTATTATTAATGATTATTATTATTATGATTATTATATTATTATTTAGTATTATTATTATATTAGATTATTATTATTATTATTAGTAGTATTATTATTATTATATTATTAGTATGATTATTATTAATTATTATTATTATTAGTATTATGATTATTATTATTAGTATTATATTATGATTAGTATTATTATTATTATGATATTATTATTAGTATTATTTTATTATTATTATGATATTTTATTATATTATTATTATTATGTTATTATTAGTATGATAGTATATTATTATATTATTTTATTATTATTATTATTAATTATTATTTATTATTAGTATTATTATTAGATTAGTATTATTAGTATTAGTTATTATTATTGTATTATTATTATTATTATTTATTATTATTATTATTATTAGTATTATTATTATTCTTGATTATGATTTCTTATTAGTATTATTATTAGTGTTATTATGAGTATGATTAGGATTATTATTATTATTATTATTATTATTATTATTAGTATTATTATTATTATTATTATTAATTTATTATTATTATTATTATGATTATTATTAGTATGATTAGTTTATACTAGTTTACTCCTCGTCGAAGGTATTAATATTTCCCTCAGCGGTTTAGCCAAAGTAGGAAATAGATCTGCAGCGGTCTTTTCACCGTATCCGGTTCTCATCTCCTAAAACCCTACGTACTGTCCTACATGTTCCCAGCAGTGCAGCTTTTTGCAGTTGCAAGTATATTTTTGGATGGAGCTGTAGCTTTTCCAGACTCTTGTGTAGTTTCCTTGGTATCTCTCCAGTAGCTCCTATTATAACTGGTATTATAGACACATTGCCCATTTCCCACATGCGTTTGATTTCGTCGGAGAGTGGCAAATACTTATTGATTTTTTCCGCATGGGTGGTTTGGATATTAGTAGGAAGAGGCACAGCTATGTCTATTATAAACGTCGTTCTTTCTTCTTTTAGTGTGAGCACTATGTCAGGAATATTGTTGGGGATGGGCCTGTCAGTTATGATTTTACGGTTCCAGTACAGCCTAGAGGTCTCCGTTTCTATCACAGGTGGCGGCGTGTATTTATAGTAGGGCTGTGTACCAGTTTCTCCTAGATGCTTTTTAGCCAAAGCTTGATAAAGTATTTTGGCCACATCATTGTGCCTTTCAAGATATTGTTTAGGAGCTAAGGGAGAGCACCCTGCTACAATATGATCTATGTGCTCATCTTTTTCCCCACATATGCGGCATCTGATATCGTCAACGTTCTCATGCATTATACGCTTTCGGTACAACTTTGTTGGGACTACCTGATCCTGGATGGAGGCTATGAAGCCCTCCGTCTCCAGGAACAGATTACCTGACTGCAACCATCCTTGGGAAGCCTTCGTGTCATGGCGTTGTCTTCTATGCGGCTCCTATACCGACCATGTAGTGGTTTAGCTTTCCATTGGCGAACCAGATCCTGCATTGGGGTTATCTTTGCCTCAGGGTCGAAAGATTTTTCTGAAAGGTTTAGTGGTGTCAACTTTTATCCGTCTGTGTTATTGCTTGATGCATTCTGCTGGATGTGGCTTTTTGGAGGAAGTACTGGCGTAGATGTCCACTTGGCGGTGATGTAGTGTAGGTATGCAAGGTATTCCTCTGCCACCCTCACTTCGTGGTAGATGGAAACCGCTCTATGGAACTATGTGGGTGGGTCCCCGGTGTTTACGGAATTCTTTTCTGGTTTCCACCATTAATATATATTATATTTATATTATTATATATATATATATATTTTCACTCAAACTATGGATCATGGACAAAGTGACTATGTAATTATTGTTTTCAGCACAAAAAACATAAGCAACCACAAAACATTGAACAGTTTTCTTAGAAATGTATTACCACTGGGTAAATTTACAAATCTAGTAATTCTTCTAAAGTCCGAGCCTGTAGATGAAGCCTTAGCAATTCTATTGGAAAACAAAATAACTAGTTATATTAAAAATAACCCTAACTGTTCAGTGAAGTTATTAGTAGCAAAGAATGGTTTTCGCAAATCACTGGCAAACATCATAAGAAGTCATGTGCAGACGAGCTGCTCTACCCTCAAAAGAAACGTTTTGTTATCGCCTCCAATAATTCCAATTTATAAAATGGAACGTCGAGTGCATTGCAACAGTGAGAGTACTGGTGCTTTTTTACTGGCCAGTGGGAATCCGATACTAATCACCTAGTACGACATGATTCGGGTAAACAGAATGTATCGAAAAATTCCTTATCACACGCTCGCGTCTGTGAAGTGCGCACGAATGATTGTCGGTATAAACTTTTACATTTAAACGTACAGTGTTTGAGAAACAAGGTTGATGAACTTGAGTTGGTGGCAAAACAGCACAGTTATGACTTTCTTTGTTTGAATGAGCATTGGTTGACTTGCGATGAGATTAATACTCTGAATATTTGTGAATATATGAATGTGTCTAGTTTTTGCAGGTCAAGCAAAATCCACGGTGGTGTTTGTATTTATGTCAATAATAAGTTTAGTGCTAAGCCTTTGTGTGACAAAGTTTTAAACATTTCTGAGGAGTTACACTTTGAGGTTGCTGGTGTCACCTGTTTGGATGGCACACAAATTCTAACCATATATAGATCACCAAATGGAGACTTCAATATATTCTATAATAAGCTTCAAATACTACTTAGTACTTTAGACTATAAGCAAAATATAATCATATCTGGTGATTTTAATTTTAAATTTAACACTCACGACAAGCATGCCAATGTGATGTGTGATATTTGTGTTTCTTTTGGACTGTATCAGACTGTGAATGTGAATACTAGGCAGAATGCTTGTCTAGATAATATTTTCACCAATATAAACATGTCAAGCATAGTTGTAGAGGCCTTTGATACATGTTTTTCTGACCATTTAGGTATTGCATTTCATTTTAATTTGAAAACTCTAAAACCTGTTAGGAAGAGAATAAACTACAGGCCTGTCACTGATGAAGGTCTTTTCAAGTTATACAGTAAAATTGAAACAGTCGACTGGATCTTTTTGTCTGATATTAGTTTACCACTGACCACTAAACTCGAACGATTCATGAACATCTTAACAAATAATATCGCTGAGTGCTTACCAATCAATCTAGGTTAGTATCAGAGGGTTGTCGCAACAAAATCAACTGGTTTGATCACGAATTGGCTCATATGAGAGAGACTTTGGAACTAATAACACAAATTAATAAAGATAATCCCCAAGTAGTATCAAAGAAGGAGATTAATGTCTTCAAATCAAAGTACCGATCAGAAATCAGAATTAGGAAAAAAAATGCTCATGATAAATATATACGTAGAGCGTCAGATAAACAAGCAGCTATGTGGAACGTGATTAAATCCAATGGTGTGCAATCATCAAAAGCACATTCGTCTACTCTCAGCGCGAATGATTTAAACTCTTTCTTCGTCAGCATTGCTGATACCATTATCGCTGAAATTCCAGCTACCCAGTCGAACTTCAAAGATTTTATACAGACTAGTGATACACTACATTTCAACTTTCGAACTGTTTCATTCAATGATGTTCGAGACGCAATCAAAAGCTTAAAGAATTCTAAAAGTAAAGATCCATATGACATCGATGTTAAAATTATGAAGACCTTAAATAACTTGTTAGTATATCCTATAACAAAATTGATAAACATGTGTATAGAAAATAATGTCTTCCTGCCTTATTAAAACTTGCAAAGATTGTGCCACTCTTCAAGAAAGGCTGTGAGAATGATCCATGTAATTTCAGACCCATCTCTATAATACCAATTATAGCAAAAATTTTCGAAATTCTTCTGAAGAATCAGATATGTGAATACTTCGAAGGTAACAATTTATTCTGTAACAACCAGTTTGGATACCGTACCAACAGATCAACGAAAGCAGCAATAAACAATTTTATCAGTTTCATCAACAAATGTCTGGAAGATAACATGTTTGCCCTCGCTAACTTCTATGATCTTACAAAAGCATTTGATTGTGTCCAACATCACATTTTGATTCAAAAGTTGTCGCTGTATGGTTTTAGTAATAATAGCCTGTCCTTAATTGCGTCTTATTTATCAGATAGAAGACAGTATGTTAGTTTTCAAAATTGTTTATCCAACAATGTGCATATTAAGCACGGAGTTCCCCAAGGAAGTGTCTTGGGACCGATTCTTTTTTTGATCTACATCAATGATCTGCCAAACTGTAGCATCAATCAGTATATATTATTTGCGGATGACACGACATCAATATCCTCCAATAGTAACTTTGATCATGTATTGCTCGATTCTCAGCAGCATTTTGACAACATTCAAAACTGGTTTAATGCCAACAGTTTGTCAATCAACATAGCGAAAACTCAATCTCTTCTACTCAGTACTCGTCCACATAGAAGTGATTTAGTAGAGCCCGTGAAATTTCTTGGAGTGATTATTGATGCAAGCTTAACTTGGGAATCACACATCACTTCTTTATCAAAGAAGTTATCTAAAATAACATATATGATACGTAGTTTAAATACCTACGTAACAAAATCGACTTTAATGACAGCCTATTATGCTTACTTCCAATCTAACTTGCAATACTGCATACTGATTTGGGGACATTCATGTCATGTATCGAAGGTGTTTGCTGTTCAGAGACGATGCTTGAGAATAATAGCAAACTTATATTTCAGACAGTGTTGCAAGACGACATTTATCGACCTAAAAATTTTAACTGTGCCATGCATATATATACTGGAATGTCTGATCCACGTTAAAAATAATTACGATGATTACAGAACTCCGAAAGAGATTCACAAATATAACACAAGGTTCAAC